ACGGCACAGATAATCCAGCCCCGGGTCTCAGAGCCAGCCGCGCTGGCGGACCGCGCCGAGCACGGCCTTAACGGGCCGGCCATTACCCACCCCCGCCACCGTGCCGCGGGGCCCGTCACGGGCGGGAGGCAGGAGCATGGCGTGCCCAGCGATCCCCGGGGCGAAGCTTTTTATACCGCCGCTTTCATTACTCAGGGTGCTGGGCACGGTACACATGCTTGACACCAGCTTCTGGCGGCGGCGTTCCGGATTGATCCGCCTGGCATTCATTAGCATGGGGATGCCGCAAGTTAAACCGGTAATGTATGCGATGCCGCCCCGGCCAGCCATGTAGAACCTGACAGTCCCTCGTCCGGGGTCGGCAGGCCGAGGGGCGGCCGTCACGCGCCGGCGTCTCCGTGTTTCCTGGGAGGAGCCGTTTGCCTCCTTTGCTCTCGTTCCTGCCCAGCTGCCAGAGGCCTCCCCCACCCTGTAGCACAAACACTTTAAACTAAATTACCGCCGCACGCGTCAGTCGTTTCTCCAGCGCCGAAGCGTCACGTGGCAAACACGAGGCGCTGTTTTGATGTCTAGCGTTTGCTCGCTCTGATGAAACAGACAGACAGAGGGGAGAGTAAGGGGGAGCGGGGGTGTTGCCGGCGCCCTGATTAGTCTCGCAGCGACGGTGTGCAGCTATCAGCCTCGCAGTGGGGGGTCCATCGGCACGGCCTGCGGACTAATGAGCCACCAGCGCGATATGCATCCCCGGACCCCATCTCTGCGTGGGGCTGTCCCCCCACTGTGCCCCTGAGCCATGCCCACTGACCTCCTAGGACACAGGGAAAGAGTCCATTCACACCTCCTTTCTCCATCAAATCACAAGTTCACACAATTAAAGCTGTCTCCACCCCCCCCAGATTTCCTTAGCCTGGTGGTGCAAGCTACAAAATGCAGTGTTTGTAGCTGGGGTGCTGCGCTGCTCCCCCACCTCCCCAAAGCGTAACCCCTCCTTCATATCCACGTCCTTTTCCACCAGCCGGCACCACGGGGCATCGGGTACCGCGCCTGCCGACTCAAATGCTCGCTCTGTGGTACCTGAATCCGCTAAAGCCGGCAATGCAGCCCAAGGCGACACGGCACGCCTTGAATGATCCCGCAAGCGAGCAAAGGGCGACGGAGGGCTGGTCACATGCACGTGAGGGGGCAGAGTCCAAAGCCCCCCACGGTCCCAGAAGGAGCCATTATTCAAGCGTTCTGCGTTCCCCCCGTGAGAGCATGGAGACGCGAAAAGCGGCCGTTAGCTCATCCCGGGATAACGGCTTATGTCTGCGAGCCTCTGCCAGGGGCATCCGCGCCCCCATTAGGTGGCAGGACAGCCCTGTAGTGCAGGTCCCGCTCACACCACCCATCCCCAGTGTACACCTTCTGCTGCAGCCTCAGAGAAGGATGCGGAGCATAGCATCCATGCTCCTCAGCCCAAAGGCACCAGACATCCCTACACAATAATTAAAACCCCCCGGTAATTTGGTATCCGATTACTCCCCAGAACACCTGGGGGGGGGGGGGAAAAAAAAAAAAAAGGTATTTCAGTATGATACAGTGACAGCTGAGGGCAAAAATAAATAAATAAATAGAGAAGATAATACATTTTACAATACAAAAGCGAATTTTAGCAAAGGGAGAATGACAATAAAATGTTAGTAAGGAGCTATATTTCATTTCAAAATTAGGGGTACTACCCCTTCCACCTTAATAGACCAGCCGCCTCTGGTATAATAGCATAATGAGGTGATAGAGGTTTTACCATTTTATAGTTACCACAACAACCCAAGGGAGGTACAGAAGAGAGAGAGGAGAACAATCACAGAACGGAAGCGTCACCAGGCAGTGACATCAGAGCGGAGGGAACGGGCTGTGAAAAACGTAAGTGGTTTTATCCAATTCCGTGTAGAAGCTTCTGAATTTTGTCATTAAAAATGGTGGGGGGGGACGACGACTATGGTGTGGGTTTTGATAAAGCAAGGCAATTTCAAAAGCCGCTACACTGCCAAATTACAGTTGTACATCATGCTGATCTCTCTCATTGTGCGATTGTGTGATGTTAACATTTGATTTGCATGTTGCCCACCTCTCCGTGACTGAGACTCAGAGTTATTTTGAAAGAGCTTCACAGCAAACTAGAAGAGACTGGCGCCACCTACAGATAAGAGGTGAGCTCTGGAGGCCAAGGGCACCAAGGTGAGAGGCTAAAACAGGCTGGGGTTCACGCACAGTGACTCCACCAGAGCAGGTAAGTGGTTGGCTGAGAATTATTTTCCTAACTGGCAGCAGGGAGACGGACAGGGGACTCTTGGGGCTCGGAGACTGAGACAAGGCCACTCAGAATCTCAGCTTCGCTTAAGCCTTCACGCAGAAAACCGGCAGGTCACTTTCTGTGACCCGCTCTGTCAGGAGAACAGTACCAAGCTCACAAAGTTCGCCAGCCGAAGGCAGAGATACACATCCCTTATTTGGGAAATCTGACCCCAAATTGCAGAACTGCTCTGCAAGTTTGAAATGATACCAGCACTGGGGAAAGAGAAAAGTGAAATTCGGAAGAGGATGGGTCTGTGTGATGACCCCCCCCTCACCCCCAGCCCAAGCAGCACACACACCACTTGGATTCATGGTGCACCCAGAGTTCCAAATCACACCTTTTTTTTCTCTCTCAGTGGACCCCACAATCCACATTATGCCATAATGGAAAAAAAAGGGGCACATTTGATTCCTTGACCAAACCTCACATTTGTTTATGCTGATGCCATTATCAACAGACACCCGCCCCACCACCCGTCTTGGGTAACCATGGCAATTTGATACGACCCGGGTCAGCACTTCATTCGGGCTGAAAATATGCAGAACGGCGGGGAGGCTGCGGAGAGGATTAATGTAGGATTTTTACAAGAAATTAGTAGCCTAATGAAGTGGATAAAAACGCTGTCACTATTTTATTGCATGTAAATTACACGGAGGGGGAAGTTTAAGTGTTTGGGGATTCTCACATAATGAGTCGTGACAGTGGCTGGGGGCCATGTTTGCCTTAACCTGCTGATAAGTCACATGACAGTACTTAGAGGATCAGGGAAGGAGACAAACACCTCCAGCCCCCAGCGCCGCTACGCCCTCACCCATCGCCAGCCTACACACCGTAGGTCAAGGCGCCCTTGATAGTGGCAATCTCACTTTCTCCCCCATTCAGTCACAAACACAAGCTCCTGAAAGTCTACCCCCCCCCCCATAATTTATACCAAACGCGATTGGATACGTACAGGAACTCATCTGCCTGATTATCCATGGAAGATCCTTCTTTACTCATTTCTGTAATTGATGGAGGAGGTGGGAGTAAGCACTTACACGCACCCAACTCCCTGCTCAATTCCAACATAAAGCACATCAGGAAAAAGTAACCTCGACTTTCCTAATTCTTAACTTTTATTTGGTTTGCTGCTGGAAGCCGAAGCCAAGCCGCAGTGCGGAAGGATTGCACTAAGTTGGACTGGCTAGCTTCACAACCGACAGGACTTTGGCGCCACCAAGTGGCTGCTGCCAGAAATAGAGGGCACTTCATCAGAGTTGCATTCCTGATTGGATGCTTTCCAGACAGCAAAAACCACCAAACACAAAGGAAACACACACAGAGGTACATTCTAGAAACTGTACCTTTATTCCATTTTCAAACCAACCTCTACCAACTCAGGGAACATGAGTAACATCATGACACAGCCAATGCCGGACCGTTCTACTTCCAGCAGCTCAGAAGCTTCAACAAGCACACCTTACCACAGCAGAGCAGACCTTAGAAAAAGGGCAGAGGCAGACTGTGCCAAACCACAGCCTCGGTATTCTGCTTTGAAGAGGAGCCACTCCTCGGGTTCCATTTACAGACTCACAAAACAAGCATGGCACAGTGATGTCCTTTATTCTTCAGAATATTATCGTCCATGTTTAGCCATGTAATGTGTATTATTCGATCATTTAAATGTATCTAGTCTGCTACAAAGAAGCCTCAGCTTCACATTAATTGGCTTAATTACCCTAAAGAGCATGACTACTTATATATTTTGAAGTAGGTTCGGTCTCCCTTTCCCATTCGGTACTTCTCCCCCTGTGGGCCACACCCCCTGCCTCTTGTACTCTTAGGTCCCACCCTCCTCTGACCCGTCTTACAGCCCACGGCACAGGCAGACACAAGGCTAAATGGAAACCGCACAAGTTCAAGCACAGAGCCACTGGGATGCCTTGGGCTAAGCTGACATAAGCACAAAGGCTAACATGGCCTCCACCCATAGCCCCCACCCAGCATCACAGATGATGTGTTAAAGCGAGCCTCCCAATCCCCACCAGCAGCAAGCCTTACAGCACAGCAGACAGCTGCAGCTGCAGTCTGGAGTTTGAAGAGAATACAGACACATTGATCACCTTTAAAATTCACAGAAAAATAGTCATAATGTACAAAAGGAGACCTGCAGGCAGGTGCGTCACAGATAAGGCACCAGCTGGGATCAACAGGATTCTCAGCAGCACTGAGTATCCTGGATTTGGCCCAGACCCAGCTGAACCCCAGACTGTCAACCGGCAGCCCCGTCTGTACTGTGATGAGAAGGCCGCATCAGGTTCTTCAGTGTGAGAGTAGAGTACTGCAAGCCACCCAGAGGAAAGCACATGAAAGACACCATGCCAGTCTGGAGAAACTGGGGTACAAGAGGAATGCTGAGAACCAGCTCCCATTAAATCACGTTTACAATGCAGGACATCTATTAACAATGAAATTACATGTCTATGCCCAGAATGGCGTCTAACTACAGCAGAAACAACATCATTTGCAGATGCATGTGTTTATTTCTTGTGATTGACGAAAGGTTTGGCAGAACTAATGCATGGCGACTTTTGGCTGAGACACGGGTGCGAGACTCACTTAAACTCAGGGATCCATTTTGCAAAGTGCATGATACAGAGCACTGCCGTGCCTTCGAACCACAACGATAACAGTGAAGAATTTGGTCACGTACTTCTCAACCCATTACACCTTCGTCATTACCACCCCACCCCCCCACCACACTGCCCCCAGTTAATGCAGCCACACGGCATCAAGAGACAAGCGACATCATCCACACATATGCTTGGAATGGGCTTCGACAGTGTCCGGTAAACTCTGTGGCATCCCATCACATGGCCTGTGTCAGATGACACGCTGCTTAGCGTCCGACGGCGACTACTGCTTAGGCTTTAGAAAGGTCAAAGCTCAAAATCAGAACAAGCTGCATTCAAATTTCCTGTGTCGCACCCCCCCCCCCCCACAAAGACATTTTCTCATTATACAGGGAGGGGTACCAAAAAAATTAAAAAAAAATAATAAGATATTGGGAGGGGGCCCAAACCAAGCCCCTGCAACATCACACCACCTTTGAAGAGTTTCAGTGTGACATAACCCTGCTCACATCTTAGTCCGCTGGCGGTCAGGCACCATACCCACCCAACCATGCTTTGTTTCTATTCACCAAGCATCCAGTCATTTAAGCGCAGACCATCAGCAAAATGTGCCGAGACTGAAGCTCCTTAAATGCAGGCATCCATACGATAGTCTGGTTTTCCACCAGCAGGTGAGGCACGTGCCGCATCGCCGTCAGATGTTAGCTGTGATGTTCTCCTCTTCCTGGGTCACACGTGTCCATTTCGCACAAGCCCACAAAAATTCCGTCATTCCCTTTCATGTCAAAGTCTTTGCTTTTTGCAAATATGCAGCTAGTCTCCAGCCTGTGCATAAGGCTTCGGGACCAAGGACATGTTCCCTTGGACTGGCGACGTGCCAATCTCTGTCCACGTCTCTCCCGCTGGCTCACACACACAGACACGCACACGCACACACGCAGCACACTCACTTGCACGCTCGCACGCTGCTACACAGGGCTCCTGGGAGTCCCGTTGTGCGTCACCGCTTTCATGGCCGGTGTGCCGGCCAGCAGAGAGCCTATTCGCTGAGTCGACACTCCAACCTCAAAAACTTCGTGGATGGCTTTACGGAAACAGTGGAAATTGTAGTCTATTAAACCTAAAAGACAAAAAAAAAAAAAAACAAAACAGCAAAACAAGGAAATACAGGTTATCCTTCAGTGGGAGAAAATTAACGTCTACTTAGCTGTAACAGTAAATTCAGGTTTCCTAACCTGCCGTTTCTTTTTTATTCTCAGCAAATTCTTAAAAGGTTACAGAAACTGCATACTCTTCATTTTTTAAAATATTTTTAAGCCCTGGGGCTTTACCCAGCTCTTAATCATTAGATATCTATAATTCCTCTAAGAAAAGGTACAGGTCTGGGGAAGGGGGGTGAGGGGGGAGAATCACAGTCCACAAAAACCAGAAACAAAAAACGGAAGGTCTCCTTTTCAGCAAGTGTTCTTAACACCAGATCACAGTGGGAATAACAGAACACCATGAAATTGTGAAATTTCAGTGCATTTCTCCTCCAAGCCAAGACATACACAATGCCTGTGTGTCCTATTCCTGTAGTCATTTATTTTTAATATGATCTCAGGGTTTAAAAGATTTTGAAGAGCCCTCAGGGCCCCCCTCCCCTTTTTTTTAAATAAAATATGAGAGCAGTGGAGCCCACAAGGCCATACCTTTGCGCTCAAAGCTCTCTTCTCGCAGGATGCAGACTAGCGCGAGAAACTTGGTGACTTCCTTCAGGTACAGGACCGTGGTGTTGTTCAGCTTGATGATGGCCATGGATTCCTTGTCATAGGCACTACCGCTGCCGTCCTCTTTAAGCCTGTAAAGCAGATCACACATTGGCGGGGGAATGTACCACATTTCCAGCGACGTACGCGACTGCTAAAACAAGCCACTTGTCTCCCACGCACGTCTGATACTTTTTCTGATCTGCTTTTTTTGTTCCCCGTCTATCAAATTGTATTTTCATGGCCAAAGCTTGCAGTGTTGGGTATGTCAGAAGTGGTGAGTTTGCGATACCAGTTACAAAAGAAGTACCTCTTGCAGGACTTCGGACTACTTTCCTGCTGAATGACAGGAGTGAGACACGCCTACTAAACCACTTTGTCAAAGTCGATTGTCCATCACACAACATGAGCCCAGTCTGCAGTGCACACAGTTTTCCCACATTGAGGAAAACCAGCCACAGAAAGACTGAAAGCTAAGTGACAAAATGCACCACTGAGGAAAAGGCGCCTGAGAGAGCTGAACACACTGCTACACGCCAAATAAATTAGCGCTTTGTTCGCCCATAAAACTCATTACATGCAGGCCAGATGCAAGAAGCTTGCTTGCATGCACTGATATATAAGCAGGCTGCTTAAGATGTTCAACACGTGCCACTACAGTTCAGTCACGCGGCTCAAGACACGTTCATTTCCATTCATATTCACCCACATGGTACGAAGCGCTCAAAGGCACAGTGATCAAAGCTGAGTCTTAGACAAACAGGCGAGAGAAAATGGCACTGACAAGTCTACAAGTGCAGTAAATTTGACACTGTGATCGTCTGTAATTTCTGTTACAAAGGACAAAAGCCATAAACACAAATTAGAATGCAAGTTCAGTGTAAAACACTGAGGTGGTGTCATTCTGAACATTCCCACTGCATCTGGGACATTATACCAAACAGCACTGGAAATAAAATCAACTAACTAGAACAAACAAGCAGGCTGACATACTGTGCCTGCCGTTCAGTGAGAAGGGCAGCCCAATTCAGCTCATAAGCGGATTAGAACAGTCTGACAAATATGCTTACTTCTATGTACACCTACCACTAGTTTATATTTCTTTATTCACAACCTTGTTTGTACTGTGTCGTCACTGCCTTGAGTTCTGTCTTGATATATATATAAAAAAAATTCTACAAACAACTCGAAAAGGAGGAAAAAAAAACAAAAAAAAAAATGCTTACCCATAAATGCAGGATACGTCAATGACCACGTCGATCATGTCACAGCACAGCTCGTATGACTGCATGTCCACCGGAGAGCTGTCTGTAGCAATGTAGATCTTACTGACCACATCAAATAAGAAGGCCTTTTCTATTCCAGAATTCTGTTGGCAGAGATACAACTTATTTGTTAGGACAAGGGTCACGCCAAGAGTCACCTGTCTGGGTGAGTTATACTTGATATAGGTGCTGGTTTAGTAAATAAGTTTCAAATAGGATTGCCTTAACCTTCCTCCAAAAGGATTAAATTGGTAATACAGTAGCTATCTCCTGACAACATTCATTAGCATCCATTTTTCAAGTGGAATGCACCTTCCACATTAAAAAGAAGACACAAAGAATTTGGGACAGCATGGAAAAGCTAACTTAATTTTCCGTGTGTTGACACGAAGAGTGGCTCTGGTGCAATATCACACCAGGAAGTTTCCACAATGATTACCTCAAAAAAAAAAATCAACATCTACATATGTGACACATACTGTGGCATATGCACTTTGCAGTGGAAGGCAAGTGTAAGTACGTACAGATATGAAGATGTTCAGAAGGTTCTCCAGGGTGGGGAGCTGGGAGATGAGTTTCTGCACGACTTTGCTAAATGCTTCGAATATTGAGTGGTCGTAGATGCTTGTCAGGTAAAAACTGGAACAAAATATTGGACAGGGAGATTAAAATGGGAACTGATAGAACTACCATCAACTGACATCTCTCTCTCTCACACACACAGGTATAACATCATCAGGCAGTATGCCAAACACACTACTCCAAATATTAACATACACTGTTCAGCCTTATTACACTGGAAACCATTGGCCTTTGCAGAACTGCGCAATAGTCACTCCCAGCCTAAACAGCAAACAAGGCCTAAGTTTACTGGGCAGCAGACCAAATGTTAAAGCCAGTGGCAGTGCAGCATGGCCCAAGATTAATGCTTAAAAACTCATTCAGAACCACCCCCCCCACACACAAAAAAAAAAAAAAAATAGAGCAACCTGTTCACCAAGGCAAATATCCAGTTGAAAAAATGCTCGTTTAAATGGCAAGATTTCCACACAACTTCTTATCTGATCTCCCTAAAAGGGCCTCTGCAATACTTAACAGCTACAGTCAGAAAATGCTAACTATGTAGTACTGGTCTATAGGCTGCTCCTGTAGCTTCTCATTCACAAACACAAGTATGTCAACATCCCACATGGAATACGTCCGTCGTGACTTGGTATAGCCCAGTGACAAAGTAAACTATGGGAAAGAGACCCAAGCCAGCCACATTCCCACCATCTGAGTTGCTCCTTTCTCTCATCACTAGGTTTTCCCTTTTAAAATAAGCTATGCTGCATTAAAGCCACTTTCCAGTGGACACTGGTACAACTTCTAATCCGTTACTGTTCACGAAACTGAACAGATAAGGCTGGTTATTGAAACCCATAAGGCAATTATAAGTTAGATCTGGTCTCACCATACAGCAAAACAGAAATAAGTTCTGGCTGGAGTATCATTTGCAAACACACCAACTTTCATTCAACACTTTAAGGTTTTTTCAGATATTTCTCCATGCTGTAGTGTGCGGAGAGGACAGGAGGTGCTGGCTCGGTGCTGACCTCAAGTGCAGCTTCTCCAGGCTTGCGTCCGCCAGATCATCATTGGCTCTCTGGTGGATGTCTCTCTGGGTCTCTATCTTGTGGTCATCAGACAGGCCATCCACTTTGTGGATGAACACTTCAAAGTTGATCTCAGGGTTGACCCGGTACGCCCTGGACACAGTGAGGTGCAGCCGGCCCAGTGCCTCCACATAGTCATCCTGCAAGCCCGGGAAAAGCAGGCACACAGTTCTGAGCCAGTGGCCCATAGATGCAAATTGAAGGACTGTACGGGGCACAATTTCGGTTAAACAACTCGACATTTTGCTGTCCCTATATAACACACGACATCGTAAACCAACAAACCATTTCCAACAAGATAAAGAGGTAAATAATATATTTAACATCATTCATAAGCACTGCAAATGTACTATAAAACTCAAATTATTTATAATAAGCCACCTTAGTGGATGTTGAACCCCAGTGCAAAAGTATGACAACTGTTTAGCCTGGTTTTCATTCAACATGTCAACCTTAATCATGATAAACAGGTAATGGATGGAGCGACGGATGGATGGACAGACACTGGTTTGACACGATCCTTTGTCACAAACAGGGAGACTAGAATCAAGTGACCGAACAAGCAGACTCATCCTTCTTACAGCAGACCAAAATGTTCACATCACACCTAACTCAGGACAGAAGAATGAGATGACTAACAAACCAAGATTCACCAAATTCTCTCACATTTAGAGACACTGCCAATATATGATGACTAAAGCCCTACATTAAGGGTAGAAAATGGAAAAAAAAAGAATTGAAAAAGGATACAAGACCTGAAGGACAGCTTTGTACAAAGGATCAACGGTTCATTGTCAATAGAAAGTTCTACTAATGTAGAAAGTCAGTCATTCATTCACTGGCAATGGTGATTGGGCAAGTATCAAAAACCAACACCTTGCTCATAAAGAAGAAATGCAAACACTGCTAGCCCATACACGCAACACGCAGCTGGCGTAACCACTGAGCACAGCAAAGCAAAACAAACGTCAGTGTAAGGTTTTAAATCAGTGTATCGCTCTGGGTACTTGTCCCTTTTTACCTGTGCATCAATGACAAATATCAAGGCACCAGTCCCCCTGAAGATCATCTCGTAGTCGAAGGTGGGGTCAAAGAAGTCCACCTGGCCAGGGAAATCCCAGATATGGAAGTTGACGAAGGAGCTATTGGAGATGTCATCTTTGTAGATTTTGTTGGTACTCTCCAAGAACAGCGTCTCATTGGGAGACATCTTGTGAAACACAACCTAAAGAAGAGCATCGGAGTCAAAAATCATGTACGATCTCCTGCTTTACAAGGTCATTAACAGAATTAGATATAAGACAGCATGTGATTTTCACCAGTGGCCAGGAAGCGGTGGTTTTCTACACTAAGCTATGAGATCATGGTCCTTTGGACCTTTGGTACATACAGTTGTTCCCTTAGATTACAGTAGGTACAGATCATAATTTGAACACTAAACACTCTGTTACAAAACCAGGAAGCAAGTAAAACAGATTTCATTCACATCGTGTGCAAATTATATCATTTTCCTTCTCTGCAAATCATACTTTAACATATTAGACAAAATTACAGATGAATGACGCTGTCGTTTACCCAGAATGTTAAAATGTCTGCCACCTCATACCAAACGCAGTTTCACTTTTTTTATTGCCACTGTCTGCAAGGAGCAGCAGCTGATGGGGGACATAGCAAAAATGAACAGTAATTATTCACCTTTTGCTAACAATGTAGACGGCCCATGTAAAAAAACGGGTGCGCACTGCATGCATCGCAGTTCGTGGAAAATGTAGGAAGTGTGCCCGCGGCTCGGATCGCCTCAGCAAACAGCAGCCAGACCCCGCGACAGTGAAGATGTCAGACGGCGATCGGGGACAGCTATGTGCGCCTGCGCCGTCGCCTCGGGACACATATGCGTAAATAAATAAATGGCAGGGCGGGAGGATGCGCCCTCGCGGCATCACGTGCCCGGTGCCGGCGAGCGCCGCGGCCGGCCGTTAAGCGCTAGCTAGCTAGGATGCTAGCACACCTGCACTTCACCTGATAAACCGATTTAGTACGACCTTCTTCGGCAGGCTATTCCGAAACCGGTATACAATAATGCTGATTATCATCGCAGTCTTGTCACTTAACATTCTTTGCTATTTTTGTAGATTTATACGCATTTTACTTAAAAAACGTCAGCGACAAAAATGCGATTTGCTAACTTCGTCCTGACAAAAGGGGCGGCTAGTCGGGCCCTAGCATAGTGCTTACAAAACCGCTCATATCTAGTGAGATTTTTAGAGAGTGCCAGGACAAGCCGCCGGGTGGTGTACTGTCACGGTTAAACAGGAGACGCCGCAGAAAAGCCCGTCCGTTAGCCAGCTAGCCAACTTCTGAAACACTCCCCCCACACCTTCTGTATGGACGACTTGCCGCTCCGGCGTAGTCCCATTAACAATATCCTGGGCTTGCTGTCGGAAGGTGCCGGGCTGTCCTCGATGTCCGCTTCCTCCACCCCGTAGCCGAAGTCCTTCGGGAATGTGTCCACCACCCCGTAGCCATCCCCCAGCGGTTCCTCGAACTGAATCGACATTTTGACCCGACGACACAAGCACGCCCGATTTCCTTCTGTTCCCTTCTGTTCACTCCTGAATTATTTCCCTTACCGGCACCGAGGAAAGCATATAACTGTAAAATTAACAAATTTCAGGCACTGGAATAAATCATATAACTGAGTAAATGGGACCAACGTCCAGATACTTATCCTCTTCTCCTTTAAATCTTTGGTTGTCTGTTTCTTTTTCAGCGACACCCAGTGCTTGAACCCGCCCCCGGCGATTCTATTGGACGTTGTGTTGAAAACGTATATGTACATTGGTCAAGGCTCCAGTCGATTAAAAAAAAAATTCAAAAGGGTGGGGTCATTCGGTGTCATATGTTTTGCAGTCACCTGACTGTGCATTGGCGTGCAAAATTGTCTTATGTGACCTTTCACCTGGAGGCTAACTTTTTTTTTTTTTTTTAAATACTTTCGCTATGATAGAAATCAGAACTGAAACATATTAAAATATCAGGCTACATAAATACATTTCTAACTGGGAAAAGTATACTGTCTTATGAATGTACTACTGGGTTAGAAAAACACTGCTTAATTCTGTTATTAAAATAATAGCCCCTAAACCAGTTTCACTATATGAACAATATAGCTTATTACTCAAAAATGATATATTGTAATATTTATTTCTCTGCATGTGTACATCATTTGTAAAATATTGGAAAACCCCACTGCATGAACATTGATGAAGTTCAATATTTGCTGGTTAGTCAGTATCAGCAGCCAATGTGGGTCCTTGATAGAGTGGCATAAATTATATGACAGATATGAGCATACTGTCCTCTACAGAGGACAAAAATGAATTGCTGAATCCCAGAAGGATGCCATTATTGCCTGGGAATGTTTTTTGGAGAACAATTATGCATGTAATTCTTTTGTGGGACATATAGCCGTTTGTAATTGTAACTGTTTAATGTTTAGTATTATTTGGTGTACCAGCAGTAAAGAAGAAGCTATTTTAACATCTCCATGTTTTTTACTTAAAATAGGCTTCTGGTGGGCATGGGTGGTCATGAGGTTGCTGGAAAAGGGTGTGCAGGCCTCCAAATATCTTTGCAAGAGGACGAAGGTCCAAGTCTTTGCTGTTTTTCTGTATGACTGTGAGACATGGACGCTATCCAGTGAGCTGAGTGAGACAAACACTGGACTCCTTTGGTACCGTTTCTCCTCAGAGAGTCCTTGGGTATCACTGATTTGACTTTGTGTCGAACGATCGGTTGCTAGGGGATTCCTGAATTACCTGCATTGTGAGGGAGTGTCAGTTACAGCACTATGGCCATGTGGCGCATTTCTTTAAGAGTGAACCGGCTTGCAGGATCCTCAATGTTGCGAACTCTAGCAGCTGGATCAGGCCAAGAGGACGCCCAGGTAAAACCTGGCTGCGGCAGATGGATGGCCATTTCCGGAGGGTGGGACTGGACCGAGTGTTTGCCTGGGGGGTCGCAGGCCAGGATTCCGAGGCGTTTCGTCGTGTGCTGGGTGCGGCAACACGCTGCATCAATGCATGCCTCCGAACCTGACCTGATCTGATAGGAATCCTGACATAGGAGACTTAGTTGCAATACTTAAATAAAACCACAAGATGGCACAAAAGAGACGAATGAGGACAGCACGTGACAAAAAAATCAAATCTAATATTTTTTAAAAAACGAATTAAGCAAGTTCTTATTTGAAATTCTGATAAATTAACTGACGTGATTAAATGTCTTTGACCCAGATAGACATTGACTCTGAAAGTCTAAACATAGGCAGCGTGTTTTAGGACATTGTATTCTTACCATGTCAGGACTCCTTTGAAATACAAAAATATCTAGTGGTTCTGCAAAACCGAGTTACATATTTCAATACAAATTCCTTCGTGCATACTTTATGAAATAAAATTCATTTGAGCGGTCTGAAGCATTATGACCAGTGAAGACTAAACACTGCTTTTAAACTATAATGCATTTAAAGTCTCGATTACAACAGCATTAACGAGAACCAAATGGGTTAGTAAAAGTCTACCACATATTTCAAACATTCACTTTTCTTCAATGGATTTCTTGAGTAATTATCCCGTTTATAGACAAAACGTAAGTTCTGCTTAATAAAGCAATCTCTGACATCTCGATACTGTCTTGCGATACATGCTGAATTTGAACGCAGCCCACGCTCCGTCTCGCTCATTAAACTAATTAACGTTGATAACAGTTTTAAATCAAGGAAATTTCGTTCTTCTTAATAATAGTTGCCAACAGTTGCGCAAGTTGATTCAAAGCGTTCACCTCTACTATGGTGACGGTGCGCACCCACCGCTCATGCGCATACGCATAACGTGACAGGGCTTGGCGGCGCGCCCCCTGCGCTCATGCACACGCGCAATATCCCAAAACGGTGTCTGCCGGCTGCCTGTACGGAGGGAAAAGAAACTAAGAATTAAACTAAATAATAGAATTAGAAAATTTAGCAGTCCATTTAATCGAAATGGCGCACTACAGAGTAAGTATGGTCACGTTTTATAGCGCGGGGTTTTGCGGTTGTCTGGAGAACACCAAATGAACGTGTGGCCAAAGTTTGGTTAGCTGGCTAAGCTAGCCCGTTAGCCGAGAAGCTGAGCAGCCTGAATAATACAAGGACTGGTTTCCTGGGCAACTGGGCTGTTTACCGGCTGCTTCGCCGCATTTATCCATAAGTTTAGTACGAATTACCATTTGGTACAGAGGACTAACTAGCTTTCCGCCTCAAACAAAACTGTTATAGGGCGTTACATATGCCAGCCATTAACTTAATAGTTTAACGATCTGGACTTCTGACAAGGGACGGTAGTTTAAAACGCTTATTTTTTAAGAAATTGTACTAAACGGAGAAAGAGCAGTATTACAGGATTTAAAAGTAAGCTCTGTCCTTAATTAACACCTGATTCCTATCAGGTTGTCCGGCAGGTGTTCGGTTAGAGAGGCTGTCCACCCGAATGCTCCAGTATCTCCGCCTTCGTCTCAGGTGGCGATTAGCGAAGCGGAATAGGCTGAGCTGAGGAACCATGTGCAATCAACCCAAACGACGTATTAGAACAATAACTTATTAGAAATAGCCATATCATTGAATAATTAGCAAGTTTTTAAATAAATGATCTAATAATTTTTATTAATATTTTTAATATTAAACTATACAGCAGACTATACAGAATGACATAGGTTTGCTGTTTCAGGAAGTCGTATGAGAGAAATGTAGAGTACCGGCTATTACCATTTTCATTTTTCGTTTTGTAATCTATGTACCATTCTGTAATGGATGAAGCGCTAGTTTGCTGCCACCTGGTGGTGAAAGGGGATTAGTGTCTGTGGCTGTGCACATAGAAATGGCCGGGGGTGAAGCCCTCACTTTACGAGCAAAGCCAGCCAGCTCAATTTTGCATCTGAACGTTGTTCACTAGGCCATTTTTGCGCCATTACATGAAAGTCGGTGCATAAAGTGTGGACCTTAAAGATACTTCTAGCTGTATGATCTCCCATGCTTTGTTGACTAATCATCTGCATTAAAAGACACTCTCTCCTCCTCTTTGGTGTGTTGAGGGTTCTGAATCCAAGCGGGAGCAGTTCAGGAGGTACTTAGAGAAAGCTGGAGTCCTGGACAGCCTCACCAATGGTAAAGCTGGCTTTCTGGGGTCACTACTGGCATCACAGTGTCACCTGACCTGCTCTTAGGTTAACACTGCGCTTCGCTCTTGCCTTGCAGTGCTTGTGGCGCTGTACGAGGAGACGGAGAAGCCTACCAACGCTTTAGAGTATCTTTTTCACAAGGGCGCCTTTCCATGTGCCATCAGTGTCCAGTAGAGGTCGCTGTCTTGATGTAATGGGGCTGCATTCAAAATTATGAGTTACCAAGGAGACGAGTCCCTTAACATGTGGCCCAGTTTCGTCAAGCAACACCTGGGCGTGGCTGGTCCAGAGTCCGGGGAGACAGAGACCCTGCGACAGGAGGTGGCTGACCTGCGAGGGAAGTGCGAGAAGCTGACAGAGGAGAACAAGGAGCTCCGAAGCAGGGTACACCCCGATCCTCACCTCCCAGGGAGCTCACTTTGAAGCAGCCTTCAGGCACGTTTGCTCGGCCCTGACCTTGTCTTCCTCCTCTCTCCTCTTTGTAGCTTCTGCAGTATGAACCCACAGCAACGGAAGGAGGACCTGAATGAGACCACCACTGTGGGACTTGCACAGAGGTCACTTTAAAACATTGCAACACTGGGAACTCCCAAGGAAACTCTTTCTGTTGATATAATATAAATGACTGCACTGCTAATGTTGTTGAACTTTTCTTTTTTAATTATAATTTTTATATTGAATATCTGAATTTAGTACACTTCTTTTTTTTTTTCAGTCACTCTGCTGCTGTGCTCAGTCATTTGGTGCTAGGGCTGTATGGGTCTGGTTTTTATGCACCGGTGATGTTACCAGGAATGTTATTTCTGTAAAACAGCAGAAGGGTCGTGGTGCCAGACATGTTTGCGTTTCCAAGTTTATATTAAAGTCAGAATAAGGTGCTTTTTTTGTTTGAATGTAAACAGTTGTGGCTGCAGGAATGTAAGTGGCTTCTTTGTGGGGCTCCGTCCACGTCGCTGGAAAGTTGGATCATACAAACCAGACGCCATCTAAAGTTGATTCTTATTTTTATAGTTTTCTTCAATGAGAATTTTAAGCTTATTTTGCAGATCGTTACAGCTAAAATTTAAACTGCATGTAATGAATGTAATTAACTGGTATTACCTACAGATGGCCAGCATCTCCCATTGGTAAAGTATCTCTTCACACTCCCTGATCTGATTTCTCAGATGTACTGCAGTACACCTGTTTTTCAGTCTCTCAGGTCATTGCACAAACAGTCATTCCTGTGATTATACTAAATTGTAATGGGTCCTGTTGTAGGCTGTTAACAATGGAAGAGTTTGTTATATTTCCTTAATAAGCACTTACGAACACGATCCCTCTGCCCCTGTCGTTCTTAACATGGTTTGTGAGTTGCATCTATTTTTTACCAATTACCTCTTAAGTGCAGGCAGCCATTGGCCTAAACCTTTGCTGGGTGGTGAGAATGTATAAGGTGTGTTGTGGGAGGTGACAAGCCCCAAGTGTCACTAGGAAGCTCCCTTGTTTTGACACCCATTGTTCCCGGACAAAGGGGAAAAGTGTTAAGCGCAGCAAGAGAAACCAGCTTAGTGAGGCAGTAGGACTGGATTCCACAGGCACAGCAAATGGTTATCAGCACATGCGTTTATTGCACAAATCCACAGAGCAGCACTGTGAAGGCCAATTCGTACTTCACTTTTCCGCACTTTCGGTCAGGCACAGGGTGAGAGAAATTTTGTCATGAGGAGTTGTGTGCATGTCGGCTGTGCTTGTGCAGGGAAATTGAATGGAATTGTTTCCATTAGGTGGCAGCAGTGACTTTTACAGTGCAGAAGTCAACCAAGAAAGTTTAGAATTGTAGTAGTAGTAGTAGTAGTAGTAGTAGTAGTAGTAGTAATTATGGTGAGCAGTTGTATGAGGAGGTGTGGAGGTACCTGCATATCTAAATTTTCATGCTGTCCAGACATTATGCCAAGGTATGCATTATTTTCAAAAGCAACACTATTCCGGCATTTTGAAATCTTGGTGAGTAAAATTTGCAGAGGGGGGCTGGAGGTGTCCCTGTCTAAATTTTGCACAAGGATTTAAAAATTCCAAGGCATGCTGTATTACCTTAATACCGTCCAAGCCTGACAACTTTAAAACTGTTGATAAAAGTTTACCCATTTCATTATACTACTTGTATTTGTGTTTGTTGGAATACATCTGCCCTCTCCTGGTCTGGTGGAATATCACTGCTGTATGCAGCACCTCCAGGGAGGTGGCTGATGTTCCTCTGCATTGTCATGCCGTTTACAGATCAAGGTAGGACATGACGAGCTAAAAGGAAACTGATTTTAGAAGGTGATAAACATAGCAGCCCTGCATGCCTGTGCTTGCAGCTGGTGAAGCCTGTTTTTGGAATTGTGGGTCATTCTATTTCATTGCCTGTCGTAACTGTATATTAATTGAACATCATTTCCACTCAGCAAATCTGAGGATTAGTCCTGTTCTGGAAAATTAAGATGCTTTGGATGGTGTAGCCTTTAACAGACTGTTTTTTTGCAACTGTGTTTCTGCAAACATTGAAACTCCACTCATGTTAGTCATAAAAAGAGTAGGTTGTAGAATAGTAGCTTCTCTTATTAAGCAGGATTTGTCAAGATGTCTTCCACCAGCAAAACCTTATCCTGTCAACAGTCCCAGCCTTCTTCCAATTATAAATTTGCAGAAGTGCCCACCATTCTTCAGGTCAGAGGCAGCGGACCTTTATTATGACCTGGATCAGCGCCACCTTTTTGATTCTCAGCAGTCATCCAGGTCACTCCTCCCAGAAGAAATGGATCCAAGAGGAAGACCAGCAATCGACGGAAACGTGACCGCGGTTTAATGTGGAACCTGTCCATAGCTGCCCTCACAGAAATGGCTTCCAGGGATACATTTTGTTGGTGTGGATGCACAGCAGTAATGTACACGGATGTTTGGAGGGTAGGTGCTCGGATGGGGGTTGGGGTGGGCGTGGCCTAGGGTAAATTTTGCTGAGTATAGGAGAGGGGGGGGTCCTCAGTACATCTTACTGGTGGCTTCTCCTTCAGTAAATCTGGTGGCAGTGGTGGGGGAGGGGGGGTAATATAGTTGGTTATTGAAAAGAGGCAGACAACCTCCAAATGAGGGGTACTTCCAATTGTCCACATACCCTCAGAACATCCCTTTTCACATACCTGGTCCACAGACTGTTCTAGAAGGGAGCCGGGTCATCAATTTGGGGAATTTAAGTGCATGAGGGATTGGTGTACTCCAGGGCATTCGGTCAGCCCCAGGCCTCAGAGCCTTTTGCTATGGGGGCCATTGAAGGTTTGCCGTGCTGCTGAGGGATGGGCCCCGGATGGCTCTGACACTCGGGTCTAAACCTGCAGGTCGGTAGCTGCTTGCCTCCTGCTGATATTCGCTAGTTCTCCACTGCGGCTCTGCTCGGACTCGGAGCCGGACACTTGGGTCGAGTGGGTGGGGTCTGATTTGGAAGTGGTGTGGATGCGACCGCCTGGGAAACGGGCCTTTGCCACGCCCCCCTCACCGCTCCGGGTGTCTGCATCAGATCCATTTGCCTCCTCCACCGTGAAACAGTGCCAGGGTGCGCTGACCCGCCGCGGCCTTCTCACCCCACCCACCACCAGGGTGGGGCAGGACAAAGCATGGAAAGTGTCCCCTGGAAGGGTGGGGTACAGGAGGCCCTCGAGCTCCTCCTGCTGTGGTGGGATCGTAGCGTCAGCTGGCGGTGAGCGGGTATCGCTGCTGGTGTTGGAGTTTTTTTTGTACCCCTTGGGGCTGGGAGGATCCTCCTCAGCATCCTCGGTTCCCCTGGCACCCGGCTCCCCAGTGGAGTCTGGGGACGGGGTGCTAAACGCGGGGTACAGCTGGCTTTCCACCTGCTTTTCGTGCTGAAGGTCATAACGCCCGTGGGCCAGCAGGGCGGCGGCCTTGTGCTCCGTCGCGGTGCCCTGGCTCACCCGCGAGTTCTTCTTCGACTTACCGAGGTAGCAATCCTCCAGTTCATCCTTCAGGTGCGGGTAGTATCCCAGGATGCCCTTCTTCAGCGTTTTGAAGCCCAGGTGCACCACCTCCAGGATGCTGAAGAAGAGCGAGACGCCAGCGATGCCCTGCATGAACACCATGAAGACGGATTTCTCGGTGGGGCGGGAGATGAAGCAGTCCACCGTATTGGGGCAGGGCTCACGCTCGCACTTGAAGAGCGGGTCCAGCCGAAGGCCGTAGAGAAGATACTGTCCGGCCATAAAGGACACCTCCACGGCAGAGCGTGCGATGATGTGTGCGACATACGTGCGGAGCAGCGCCCCCCGCAGGGGAGCCTTGTTCAGTTTGCTCTGCTCCAGCTGCCGCAGCTCGCGCTCCAGCCGTCGACGGGGCTCTGCCGCGTCGGCTTCCGTGGCCTCCAGCTCCCGGCGGAGAGCCGCCTTCCTGCGCTGCCGCTGCTTCTCCAGGGCGCGGAGCCGGTACAGGGCGTGCCCCATGTAGACCAGCGACGGCGAGGACACGAAAATGACCTGCAGTACCCAGTAGCGGATGAGCGAGATGGGGAAGGCGCAGTCGTAGCAGACATTCCGGCAGCCCGGCTGCTCCGTGTTGCAGATGAAGTCGGACTGCTCGTCGTTCCAGACGTCCTCCGCGGCCACGCCCAGCACCAGCATGCGGAAGATGAACAGGATGGTCAGCCAGATCTTCCCCACCATGGTGGAGTGGATGTGCACCTCCTCCAGGATGCCTCCCAGGAAGTTCCAGTCACCCATCTTCACACTGAGCTAGTGCCTGTGGGAGAGGTTGGTGCCGGGAAGAGACCCCCGTAATGCAGAGGAGAGATCAGGGCAAAACAGGATAGAGAAACTGCTTAATTGTCAGAAACTTCATTTGGACAAAAAGGGGAGATTTTAGTGCAGGGGTTGTGAGATGTGTAACTGCTGCCCTGCCTGTTGTGGCAGGTTTAGGGTTTATCAGATCATTTCATAATAAAGGTCATTATCTTGCTCTTCTGACTTGGTTTTAGCTCTGCTCAGGCTGCCTGCTGAGGCAATTTGCATTTTACAGAAACCTGCCCATGAAACTGACATTATTTTAATGAGGAGGGAAGGAAAATGAATGAGATGAAAATGTAAAATGGTTAATATTTTGCATGCTCTTAACAACCGTGTCTGCTATCTGGGCTTGTAAATACTACATTAACAAAACCCTGGAGAAAAAAAAAACATATTGTCTTCATCCAAACACCAATGATCACAGGTGGTTAAAAATCAATTTTTAAACATTCTATTTTCCATGTATTAACTGGGTTAAAGTAACAACCTGTCCACTGACCTGTCAGGTGAGGAACAGTGCATCCATGATGGTCCATACCTCACCTCACTGGCTGTGCAGATGACCATGCAGAGCGGTGGCCCATGACTTACCGTCTGGCTGTTCCCACTTTTCCAGGGCTCCGTGATCATTTATAGGGGCAGCAGAAATCGATGTGTCTGTCAGTGTGGGCATGACCCAGCCACCAATGTCCCTGAGCCCCGAGCCAGCAGGGGGGGCGTTTATATTCCAGCTGGACTTATGGAGCCCTCATCTCTTCACCTTGGGGAGACCAGCAGTCAGAGTAATGATGTAATGAAACATTCCTCAATACCCACCATGGGGAAACAGTCAGACACACACCTGAATAATACCTAGGCGGTTTTGTGAAAGGTCATTTCTACTCTGTGTAGCTAAAAAGCCTGTAAAAGTGTCAATATCATACTAGTCCTACAGGAATTGACTCCATCACATTCGTACATATACTATGATCTTTCTTGACAGTTGATGCTCTCAGTAGTCCTTGAAGTCCACCAGAGTTAAATCTTTTAAACTCTTTCTCTGTCATTTCAGATATGTATTTTAAGACTGTATTTGACAGAGTATGTCATAGTGCCTGCTTCTGAAATTATAGGTTGTAGACACACATTGCTATTAAAAGAAACCAGTCATGCATTTGTAATTAGTTACAGTCTTTTACAGCTGTGGTGGTCACCAGAGTTATAAATAGCCATGTGTTAAATTCTATGTACATTATGTAAATATAGACATAAATACACAGAACCATTCAGCCATCAGGCCCAAGCCCCTCCCTGGTAAAGCTGCTGGATCAGTTCTGCACTGAGATCAATGGGTCGCGTCCGATTTCATACCCGGATGGTTTCCCCCAAATGTAATTAGGTTCCTCCTGCCTGCTTCAGTGGTACTTTATTCCATTTACAAGGATCGATGAACAGTGGACTGCAGGCCTGCATTGGGATTAAAAGTCGGCCCTGGATTGTCGGCCAGACAGGTCCACTGCACAAACATACCAATGATAAATTTTCCCTGGGGTGTTGGGCGGCCCACAAACCTATGGGCTCACATGGCAGATGGCCCGTCCAGGCATGTTCAGTCTTTGTGATACATGTATTATGTAATATGCATTTAAATACAAAGTTGTATTATGCAGTTTGTATTTGGCTCACGTCATAGAAATGATTACGTAATTTGTGGCGAAAATACTTTGATGTTCAGTTTTTTTGTATTTTGAAAAAACAAGAACGACTTTCCCTATAATGAATGCATGATGGCATCATGTGCGCAGAACATTTGTACAATGAGGGAGATTATTACTTCTGACATTGACATGTCCAGTAGTTGATCACTTGTTCTGAACCAAAGGATTTACAAGCTTCATTCAAGCTTATTTGTGTTTAAAGGTTTTAAAGATTTAAAAAAGTGAAGTATTTCTTTTAGTTATTTGCATTTGTGGTGCAAAAAAAAAAAAGCAGTTTTGTCAAATTCCAAAAAAACAAATCTTTGTTAATATTACTTTATCATTCGATTGACTATCCATTATCTAAGTGTCCAGTTGAGTAGCTGCTATACAGTAACGACACTTCACGATATTTGATCTTCTGTCTGGTTTTACATTTGTGTTGTGTCTCATTAAGTAGTGAAAAAAATGTTGCTCTTATGCTTGGCCATTCGAGTCCGTGTGCATGTGAAGTAATAGGATTATACAGAGTAGAAGTATGTGAGATATAGTTTTGTCGTATCAAAATACAAAATACTATAGTTCATTTTAATATTTGGGGTGGCACAGTGGCAAGCACTGTTGCCTGACAGTGCTGGACCCAGGTCTCAAATCTCCGCCAGAATTCCACGTGTGTGGAGTTTGCATGTTCTCCCTATGACATCATGGGGATTCCCCCACAATCCAAAAACATGCCGAGGCTGATTGGAGTTACCAAACTGTCTGCAGCTGTGCATGTGAGTGTGCCCTGCGATGGGTTGATGCCCCATGCTGGGTTTTTCCCTGCCTTGTACCCATATCTTCTGGGATAGGCTCCAGTCCCCCCAATACCCCAAACAGGGCAAGCAGTTACGGAAGATGGATGGATGGATTTTAATACTTTGCTTGGTGGCTGTATTTTGTAATTTATTTTGATGCATTTACAAACAGGGTATTTTGCGTTTCGTATCAAAATATATTCCGATGTACTTTTGTCCATCTCTGCATCCAAGTATGGTGAACTGGGGTTTATTAAATCAGACACCTGAGGATTCACCTTATGCTGGTCAAGTCAGTACAGCAGTCATTCTAGGTACCAAAACAGACAGGCTGTACTATCACTTCCATCCATAAACCTCCACTTATCCAGCATGATTTGGAGGACATGCTGCTGTCCCAGGCTGCACAGGGCAGAGTGGGGGCAGAAAGTACAAATCCAGGTTTTGTTCCAACCAGCCAGTTGAGTACTCTGTGACTGTGACTCGTTATACTCAACTGTTTGGTTGAAAGAAAACCCTGGTCTGGATTTGTACTTCCTGGGCCTGAACTTTCCACCTCTGGTGAGCTGAACCCTGCACGAGGAGAACATGCTCCACACACACAGAGCAGGCCGTGATTAGCACTCACACTCCTGAAAGTGTGAGGTTACACTGTGCCCCCCCCCTCCTCAAAGTGCAACTTTCAGAGACACTGGGATTGTTACTGCCGCTATTATGTGACAGAGTGTTACATAAGCATCAGTCCTGTGCCTCTGTGGGTACCGGCTGTGGATCCTGGCATTCTGTCTGCCCCGCTTACTGCCCAAAATGACCAGAACGTCTCAATGAAATATTCTTAGGACTTCACGCAAACAACAGGGTGAAAATATCTATTCCTCACATTAATGAAACTGTCCTAAGAAAACTGCCTCAAAATCTGAATCAAAGAGAGAGACAGAGAAGGCAGCGAGGAAGGGGGTGGGTGTGGTTGACATGATCCCCCCCCTCCCCTAATCTCACATCATATCCGGTATCAACTGCAGGCATGGGGGTCACGCCAGTTTCACAGCTAATGAGGGGCGGTCCTTATCCAGTTGGTCCCCAAATGGCCACTCGCTGACAAATGGATGAAAGGGTTAACGCCCTTTTATGGGAGAGGCTCAGCTTGACTCTTTCGGGAATTCTGGTTACCAAGGAAATACACACCATGCACCAGGGGTGTTAACTGAAGCTGTCGACGGCCCCCTTGGCGCCCCACCGCACCTCTCAGCGCACCGATGAAGTGCACCCTGACCACAAACAATCCAGCGTTTTTAACTCCAGCTGTTGGGTTTGCACATGTACACGGACTCCCAAGAAGCTCCAATAGGTGGCTGCTTCATAAAGTGCCCCAGCTGGCATTAAGCCCGCAGAACAAACAGCCAAACAAACGACAGACAGTCAGCCAGCCAAAGAAACAAAAGACAGACACAGACAGCCAAACAAAAAACAGACAGACAGACAGCCAGCCAAAGAAACAAAAGACAGACAGACAGTCAGCCAGCCAAAGAAACAAAAGACAGACACAGACAGCCAAACAAAAAACAGACAGACAGACAGACAGACAGCCAGCCAAAGAAACAAAATACAGTCAGCCAAACAAAAGACAGAGACAGACAGACAGCCAAACAAAAGACTGAGACAGCCAGCCAGCCAAACAAAAGACAGACAGCCAGCCAGCCAAACAAAAGACAGACAGCCAGCCAGCCAAAGAAACAATAGACAGACAGACAGCCAAACAAAAGACAGACAGACAGACGACACAGACAGACAGACAGAAGACACAGACAGACAGACAGAAGACACAGACAGACAGACAGAAGACACAGACAGACAGACAGACATATCGATATATAAGCACTGTGTGTATTGATGTGTGAAGCCCACACTGGAATGTTCCTCACAGGCCGAATGGTGAATGTCCTGGCTGGTGGGATCGATGACCTTTTTAAAACATCAAAATGTCAAGCTGGGTCACCATCTCAGAGACTCAGGGACAGCCCCAGTGACTGCTTTGTCCAAAAAAAAAAAAGAAACCCTGCCAACTCTTCCAGAACATCTGGGGTGTTCTGAACTTTATTTTAGCAGCTAAACAAGCATGGAAAACTCCCTGTCAATCTGAACATCCAAATGGTCCCTGAAGATGTTTTATGAACCTAAACGCCAAAAGTACCTCTAAAAATAAGTAAGAGGTGTTACATAAGTCCCTGTATCTGCACAGACAGGTATTATGTCAGATATTGCCAGCATACAGACATTCCAGAATTATTCAGATAAATTTCATCCATAAGACTTAATAGCTTGATCACTAAAAATTCATATTCATTGCCAGACTGCCGATTCAGTACAGGGTCATGGTGGAATCAGAGGGCAGCAGGCAGGGCGCAGCCTGGGTGAGGCTGGCGAAGGGGAGGGACATGTAACAGATTACGGACCAACGGGTGTAACTACAGGAGGCGGCTCCAAAACATCTGACTGAAATTACGTTTGTTAGAAATTTCATGGCGTGTATCGAACCGTGAGCTGTGCATCATTACACCCCTGTGCCACACACATCTACACACAGACACATACTGCAGGTATCAGGGAAATAAATGGGAACAAATCATGCAACAGTAACTCTTATATGTTTAAGATAATTATAAAAAAAACATTTATTTCATTGTTCTACAGGACCAATAAAATACAGAATACATTATGAAGCATATGAAAAGTATAAAATATACTTCAAACTGAGTACTAGTCATCAACAAAATACCAACTAAACATCACAGCCCTTTCTCAAACTACCAATTAATACCAGCTAATTTGATTAAAGCAAAAACAAAATGAAACAAAAATGACTCAATGTGACGACCTGCCCAATTAGTGATCACACTCTCCCAAACACTTCTGCCTTAGGGTCTTTTGCGGTGGGACACAGGGTCATGCAACAAATTTTAAATGGAGCAAGATGACCTCCTTAACGGTCACAACACAAGTCCGGCCAAAACACCAGCACAATTCCCCTTCGTTCCCCTTCAAGTCAGGCGACAGTAACTCACCCCAAAACTCATCAGGGTAACTCATCAGCACCGGGATGGGAAAAGGGCTGGAAACGTATCAGACACTGGTGTTTAAGGAGAAGATGCACCTTACTAATGGAGCAGTGAATGACTTGCTAACACATTAAGGCCACACCAGCTTCAACCCCTAACTGAGCTTCCTGAGTCACCACTCTGAACAATACAAAGAATGGCAAGTTGTTATTTTCATACAATTAGTAAAGCGAGGAATAATGGCAGATGTTCACAGTAGTGACTCCAAAACAGGCACGACGTGGGACTGTCCCAAAGAACGACCGGCGGGCGGAAAGACGTCCTTCAGCTCATGTAAACACTGTGTCATTTCTGCAGTATAAACGGCAACTTGTTTAGGTTAAGAGGAATAAAACATTTCTAAAATAAGGCAGGAATGTTCCAAGAAGACCTGAGAGTAAACAACATATCTTTCTGGTAACAGTCAAAAGTTACGCTGTTTGAAGACTGAACTCGCAATGTGGAGAACCATTCATGGGCGATATAACCTGAGACTGAGATATGTCTGCTAATTTACCTGAGTTCTGCTTTGTAACGGGTCAGAAATTGGGCTAAACAGGAAGCCATCCCACACAGTGGAAAGGATACAGCCCTACCTCATCGTCAGTGTCATCAAGCGCAATGACACCAACGACTAAAGGATCTCAAAATCTCCCTTTACAGAAAAAAAACATCCCAAAATACAATTAAGGGATGGCTCCCCATACAAAGATTGACTGTATCCTAAAAGACACGTTCACCAGTCCATAACCACACGTTGAACGTGCCTTTTGACTTTAGCTGCTTGGCCCTACGCTGGGGAAAGGAAGATGTTGAAGGCCACGGCAAACACGATGAAGAGGAGGTATCCCACGATGCACATCCAGAATCGAGGGTCCCTGAGGAGCTTCTGATTGTAGCTGCTGAAGAAAACGTAGCCGACGGTCATGCCCGCTATGCCGCCAGCAATGTGGGCCACGAAGGAGACCTGGCGGGAACAGGGATGGGCTCAGTACGGTGGGGCGGGCCTAAAGCTCTCTGGGTTCTGATAAGGGCCACAAGCTTTGCTTTTGTTTTCCTTCAAGACCTAATGCTGATGCAAACAGTACTTTCATGCTTATCGGCAGGTGTTACGGAAGTCAAACATCTGCGCCGTTGATATTCAAAGCTCGCCGATTTATCTCGGCAAGCACAACTGGAAGAGCCGGTTTAAAAGATGTGAGGATCGAGAGCAACACTGTAGCGGCATAAATTTTGATCTAGTGAGGGGAAGAACGTTCAAAGATAAAATTAATGGCTCTGAAGAGGAAATGAGCAGAAAGATGTGAATAGCATGGAAGCTGGTCAGGCCCAGTAACAGGAGAAATAAATAGAGATGACATAACATTCTGGGATTTCCCCTGGCAGCAGCAGGACAGCTGCAATGCTCCCTGAACCCGAGGCATGGCTCTCATCTTCTGATGATCTCAAACATGTGACTTGAGGATGGGCTACGAATGGGGGGTGAGGTGCTGGGCACTGCTTCAGAAGCGCAGCCACAGGATGTGAGGTCACTTATTCGTGTCAGCATCCAGCCACATTCTTTAAACTGTTAACCACCTCATCCTGTCTAGAAGGACAGAAGCTGGCTTCCATTGTGCTGTGGACAGCGATCGGTGCAGAGTCACAGGATCCCTGACAATCCCACTCTTCCACTGTGCCTTTATATCAACATTTCCTGGTTTTAGGGATTTCACTGGTATGACTCTTACCTTGTAACCTGAATCATGAGTCAGAAACCTTCTGTAGAGGGCAAACCCCATGTCGGTCCCCACTGGCAGAAAAGAGAGGGAAAAAACGCGGATGTCAGACACTGGCGGAAAAGACACTGGGATGTCAGAGCTCAGGGCAGCACAGTTATACTGTAGGTGGTGAGCTCAGCTCTGGCGAGGCTGCAAGCCACAGAGAATCGGACCGGGTTCCCGCGCCAACCTACCGATGAGCACGATCGCCGCGATGCGGAAGATTCCCAGCAAGGGCAACATCTCCCTGAAATTCTGCAGGAGACGAGAGGCACAGCAGTCAGGGATGGGGGATGGGCTGCAAGTCGCATGCAGAGTAAATCGGGCCCGTATGGGGTTGGGGTTGTAGGCAGTAAGAAGGTGGACTTACCACTATGGCGTTCATGAAGTAGCCGCCCATCAGGGCGTAGACTCCACCCGAGGCCCCCACCAGGGCATTCAAGGGATCAAATATGGAGCTCGCCAGAGAACCTATGGACAGGGAAACACAAGGAACCCGCCTTCAGCCCGGAACCGGTTTGGAGAGAAGCAGGAAAAACCGGAAGTATGAGGAGGGCCTGGTGTGATCCCATAGCAAGCCACAGCCTGGAGCTACAGCCATAAAGTCATAATCCTGTAACACTGGGATGAATGAATCTGTGTCTCCCCCTTGGAATTTTAAATCCACAAACCAAGTGTGAGTCTGTCCCCAAGCGCATGGTGTGGAGCTACAGCAGGGAGCGCCAGCCTCAGCTCACCTGCAAGGACGCCGCTCATGTACACCATGCCCACCTCGAAGCCCTTGTGCACCAGCTCCAGGGGAATGCCCAGCAGCAGCTGCATCAGCAGGTTCCCCAGGATGTGCTGCACCCTGTGCGGATGGGAGGGGAGATCAGCTGATTGGGAAAGACCAGAGCACTGATGGGAGGCCTGGGAATGTAGGAGGTAGACTGACGGGAATCTGATGGTGGTGGGGGGTGGGGGCGGTTGGATAAGGGACTAACAACAAGTGTAATGGAAGGGAGCGGGGAGGGTAAGTGCATGGTGGGGGGGTGGGGTAAGGGTCCGATGGGAGCCTGAGAATGGGGAGCACAGGGAAGGGGGGGAGGCATGGGCAGATGGGGACTGGGGAAGGGGAGGGACGTGTAACAGATCAACTGGAAACCTGGGGGGAAGATGGGGACCAGATTACGGACCAATGGGAACCCAGGAAGGGAGGGGGGCTGGTTAAATGCACTGAGTGCAGCCTCCTCCCGTGCTCCCCGCGGTCACACCCACCCCGCATGCACGAACATATAGGAGATGAAGCGCCACGCCTGCTCCCTTTTGTCGGGTTTGTAGGTCAGGGGGCTGTTCCAGATCCCATCCCCCAGCGTCACCCACTGCTTCTGCGGTTTCCACACGGCGTAGTAGATGAAGACAGCCAACTGCAGGCAGAAGGATGGACACATCAGCACCATGGAGCCACAGCCAGAGCCCCGCTCTAGGGGGGCTGCCCCCTGCTACCACTGGGCTGACTGACAGCACATGCCCCCCCATTATCAATCATTCAGGGCCCTTCCCACAGCACTGTACTTTAATGGTACTTTCAATACTTCCCGTTTCCACTGACTTCTGGTTGAGTACCAGTATCCAAAATACCTAAAGTACCAAACCAGCTGGGCTACGTTTTTCTGCACTTTGGGGTGAGCAAACATGTCCATTGTCAACTGGTTATGCAAATACCCTGCGTCTGAAATACTGTGCTGTTATTTTTCGATTTGTTTTGTCATCTTGAAAAAAACAAATGACAAATAAATAATGTATGTATTTGACGTTAAAACATATGCAAATTAAGAGTAACACAATAAAAACTAACTGGAATTTCTTTTGTTGGACGGCCAGATGAACACCGCTTCAGTTCCTAAACCTCTCCCCAAGGGGCACCCCAGCCATTCCATGTGTTTACTACCAGATTATTTAATGAATTAATTCAATTAATTAGTTTTAAAAGTCATTGAGGTACTGATTTTCCATATGAGGTGGATGGAGGTCAAGGGAAACATACATGGGTGTATTGGACGGTTGCAGCAAATACTGGGGTGACTTTAGAGGAGGTTTTGAAATGGCTAATCTGACACACTTTGACGGACATAATCCCATAGCACTACACCAAAATGAAGATCATTTAAACATTATTCTCTGATTTTTGCACAGTACTGTATTTTTGTACCTGTACATCTCTATTTCAGCTGGGACTGCTGGACCCAAGATTGCAGCTGAGAAGCTGCATCAGATAATCGCAGCTCAAAGGATGGCAGAGCGGAGCCCACCTCTCCTATGCTGACGAGGATGATGAAGATGGGAGGGGGGCAGCAGTTGGCTCGCTCCAGGTAGACGTCGCGTGCATGTGGAGGAAGCATCCACCGGGAGATGGAGTGCTGGAACCTCTCACAGCAGCCCACCGGGCCCCCACCTTCATCACCATCAGCTGCCTCCTCCTCTGGCTCCTCCTCTGGCGCCTCCTCATCCCTCCACACTGGGAAGGCTGAGGACTGATCCACCTCCACGGACTCCATGTTTCACTGCTGCGGGGGTTCAAGGTTAGAACGTCAAATCTCAGGATGGGCCTTTCTGTTTTACCCTTGAAAGTTACAGACGTAAAACTGCAAAAGTAATACAAGACAGAGAAGAGAATGGATAAAGGGGAGAGAAAAAAAGATTCCTTACTGCTGTAAAAACACTTCTAATTATCAAAAGACTTTCAATAGAATTCCACAAGTAATGCTCTTATGTCGTGTTATTTTTTGTAATTTATTTTACTTTAATGTGACCAATTACACCAAAACAAATTCATTGTCCTCCGGATGTACATGATGAATAAAGCTGAAATTGATTCTTAATTGGAGCTGCCGAGAGGAGTCACATCAGATTAAATAAAGGTTTGTAAGATAAGTTATCAGCGTCCGAAAGACTACACGAGTGCGTTTGTTCTCCCTTTGTTCTGCAAGGCGCGCCTTTGCTGTTCACACTGTAGCTCTTACCTTTTTCTAATAGATCTGTGCTATATGTAAACGTTAATGCAGCCCGGAAACACATATAACCGGTGGTAAACAAGCAGCCACACGGGCTATGATGGGGAGTTGTATTTTAAGGCGTTGCTCCCATTCATTATAGGTTACTTCCTGAACATAAGCAACAGACTTTTTTTATGCAATCCAGTGATTTGGTGAAACACAGCACAGTATACAATTCAACACGATTAGTTCGGGTGAAAATGAGCATTTTCATGCCCGCAATGTTTGTAAGCGTAGATGTATTACTGAAAGACCACAAACGGTGTTCAGACACAGGACTAATTCCCTACCCCCCCTTCCCTACCTTTGCGAATATCCTGATATTCCACATGCACTCCAGATTAATCCGAGTCCCTGCTTAACTTTATAACCGGCGTCTAGATCATTTTCATAGCTTGAACCATAGGAATAATAAGGTTTGTTGTGATAAAACGCGTAGCATGTAGGAATGGAGGGAGAAAACGAAAGCTTCCCCCGCAGTCCGAGAAGCGGCGGAGGTCTCTCTCCCGAAAGTGAGCTCAGTGATTACAGGCTTCTCCCAGGGTTGCTGCTTCCTCGCATTTCCTTCTCTTCGAGACACCGGACGCCGAGCGCAAACAGGATACCCAGCAGATGACAACTTTAGAACAGTCCATATCCCCCCCACAGCGCCCGACTTACCTGCCAGGGCCGAGTCGTGCAAACACACCAGGAAGCGTCACGCAGGTATGACGGCGGAGCCACACGCGCCTATGTGCTCACGAGCTGTCCCCCGCTTACCGCTGCAGGTTACGATCAGATACAGATAGTACGTCGAAATGTAGGAATAGGACAATCGCACCGACTTTCAGGTGTCAAGGATGTAAGGCTGGGATGGTCGCACTACCATTCAGTATATAATTTCCCCGCGGCAACTATCAAACGGCTCGCAACGTACACTGGGAGGCGTAGCGCTGCCGGCAGAAACTTTTTACATACGGTACCGTTTTAAAATACATATTTATTTTACTTCGCTAGTATGTCTGAGTAGTCATGATAAGACGCAAGGTCATAAGTTGGGGGAGTCTTTACATACATGCATAGAGAGATACATTTTCAATGGGTAGGTCTTGTCGGACATAAACTTTCTTAAAGGGTATTTACATGCGTATATTTTAAGATTTTTAAGTAACACGTTTAGTGTGATTGCATGCAATGTTACTACAATAGTTGAGATCAGCACACCACAAGGGGGCGCTACTCCGCTGATAGGTGCATATCCAGAACAAACTCGAACTCAAGTGCGACTCCAATGCGTTTATTTGTTTTAACTAAACCAGTCAACACTACAAAGAAAGAAAAAAACCATGGAGGGGGAAACTGTACAAGAAAATTAAAAACTGCCTTTCGGTAAGGCGTCTCAACAGGTTGCCATCATACTCCAGCATGCCACTGAATGCTGACCCCCCCCCCCCCCAACAGAAGCGGCTACAATGAGAAAGGGATACAGGCAAACAAATACAATTCACATCTGAAAGGAAATGCAGGGGGTGTAATTCAGCTTCTCGCTGGTGTGCCTACTGGTCAGTCACTCACTTGTCACAATACTGTTCCAAGCAAATTGAACCCAGAGTCGGCAAATAAACTCGAGGGTGATATTACATTTGAAAACAAACCGCACCACAAGCACACACAGGCAGAGTGGCCCCCACATCCTTTTAACACACCAGGATGTTTCACTGGCTGTCAAACCTCCCCGAAATACACCTGGAAATAAAAAGGGGGGCAAGAAGGAAGGGGGGGGGGGAACACACTGTACAAATCCATTCCTCATGGATCATGCCGGATTGCTCATCTCAGCCCCATCTTCCAAGCTCCATTCAGTTTCCCATGAAAGGTCCATTCCGTCACTGAGAAAGGCCCATTTTACACCCTTAACCACTGTAAACATACATCCACACATGAAGAGAAGGTCACGGGGCTGGTGCACAGAGGCGGGTCTTACACGTCCCAGTATGTCTACCACTTCATACACACAGTCCCAATTATTTTAGATTAAGCCAGTTAAGGTTTAAGGAAACAAAGTCGCACCATTAACAGTCGGCTGTTGACTGACTCCCTGCTAGCTGTACAAACTGTAGTGCAGAAGAACACAAGTGGAACCAGAAATATGAATTATGTACAGGGGAAAGAGTGACTTCAGTTTTATTTATACAGAGAAGGTGGAAATTAAAAGTCAACATCCGTGTGTGTGTGACATGTGGGAGAGAAACTGGGACAGGCCTGCTTTGGCAGCATTGGCAAGGTAATAGGACAGTCACAGGGACGAGCTTCCCAAAGCACGGCGTGTTTTCAGGACGGTGCGCACACACCGGCGAGGACGTCGACTCAGAACAGGCCAGCAGCAAAACAGAGCGGAGCTCCTCCGGGGGATTAAAAAGGTAAAATCATGGCACCCAAACATTGTGGAAGAAAATAAAAACAAAGGACGTGGGAGATGGTAAGGAGTACAGCAGCCATCTTGGTGGAGGAAAGCTGGTACCAACAGAGTAGGATCTTCAGGAGACATCTGAAACACACAGGTGAAGAACATTAACAAGGCCCTCTGTGCCCGTCAACAGGCGCTTTCACATCGAAATTCCGGAACCTGGTCCCGGTTTACAAGCTCCTGGGCTCTCGACCTGGAACTTTTGTAGCTCCAGGCAACACAACTGGAACTGAAACTTATGCTAAATAAGCATGGGAGACACAGAAAGCTTGCAGGTTAAACTTCACACAATTTCGTACAAAATTACACCGCCACATCAAACCAATAGAGAATAATGGAGTTTGTTAGTTATTGGGGGGCGGGGCATCGATAGCAATCAAAAATGGGACACAGCATTTTACTTATATGACCCACGACATGTTTATGGTTCTTAACACTCACAGCTCGCTGGCCTGGCTCCATACCGCCGCATGATCTGGTCTTGTGTGAACTTCACAAAGGACTCGTACTGCTCTGAAAGGCAGAGCAAGGAGTAGATGAGAGAAGCAGTGGGCCCAGCCCAGTGTCAAGCACCAGGGCCCCAAGCCATCACTAAGGGGGCCACAGTACGCCTCCATGGGCACACCTGACGCCACATGCCGACCAAAGCTGACAGATGGACAGGACTGGTGGGGCATTCCGTCCCACCTGCACAGCAGAATGATACCCGGAGGTCCCCCTTGATGTCATACCTGCGAGCTTTGTGTTGAGGATCTGTTCATACTCTTCACGGATCTTTTCTTCGTGGTCTTTGAGGAGACGCTCACACAGGTAGCCCACCTGGCGCAAGGTAAACGAGGGCTGGTCCTTCTTCACAGACGAGGCCCCTGGAAAACATACTGTTAAAGGGTGTAATGGCCCACAAACACCAACAGGGGGAGGCAGGTCAGTGGTGCCTGCCTCCCAGACAGAGCCACATGAAATTCGCAACCAAGTTACTAAGCGGAGCCAATGAAACCTGCAGGGCTTACCAGGTGGGGAGCTGGGGGCGGTGAGCGTGGGGCTGGTGCTCTGACACTCGCTGGGCCCAGCAACCTCAGTTTGGTTGAAGGCGCCCTCCAGCTGCCGTCGCCGCTGGTAACGGCTATACTCCTGTTTGAGGTTCTGGAAGATCTGCTCTGTTGGGTGGGGGGCAGGAGAGGGTCAGAAACACAGCTAAACCCTGGGGGCAGGAGTACTTTAATAAAAACAGAGCCAAAAAAAAACACACAAAGCATTAAGAGAGTGCGACACTGGAGTTAGATACGAGTGGTAGGACCACAGAGTTGGTAAATGTATCCCATGCCAGTACAGGGGAGTGAAACTCACACCTGTGAGAGCAGGATGGCATCATTTTTCTGAGCAGGCGGGCTGACAGCAAAGCACCAAACATCTACGAGCCAGGATGAGGCACTGATGTTATCCACATGCTTTCCCAGGGAGTGGCAAACACAGTTTGACACTGCAGTCTCCTAGCAGAAGTCAAGTTGCCCAACCTCCCCAGGGGAATTTCAGCTGTGGCCCAACCTCCTCGGCCACATGAACGGATAAGCAAAAACACAGCTGCAAGCTGTCTTCTTCCCCAAAAGACATTCCCTGCTGATACAGAGCAGAAGTGAAAACAGGCCATAAGAGCATCACAAGTCCTCACTGCTCTTAGAGAATCCTTACATTACAGTGACGGCAGCTGAAAGCAGGACAGCAAAGCATGGCACGGGGGGGGGGGTGTGTGCAAGGGACACACTGCGGAAAAAGCATACATAAGGGTGACAGGTAGCACGCTGGCCAAGGACAGTTAGAGTCCCATCAAAGGGACAGCTGTCGCATTTGGAAAGGTACTCACTCTAAGCTATAAATAAATAGGTACGGTTCCCAGCTGTGAGAGTCTTTCCTAACAGCAGGTTGATTAAGTAAATAAATGGGGGGGAAAGGGGTTACCACCAGCTCTGGCTCTAGAAGGACCAGGGTGAAAGTGATTGACCACAGCAGCAGCAGACTGAGCAGCCTGCAGAGCACTAGGGCATGGGGGGGGGGGGATCCTGCCTGTGGGTACAAAGGCGCTCTAACCAAGGGTGTCTGCAGCACCACTGTTTCAGTTTGTACTGCCCTTTCACAGCTGAACAAAGCACATGCACACACAGCTCTCACTCTGTACCGGCATTCAGGCAGCGGAAAAGGGGCGACGCAGACAGCCCAGGCCCAGGCATTGCGACGCAGCACCGCAAGACCCAGGATTAGGCAGAGTCTGGCCTGTCATCTGGCCCTGTTTAAACAGCCGTGCGGCAAGCTCATCCAATCGCAATTCACTGGGAGGGGGAACAATGTGGACCTTTATGTTCCCCGGGGTTTCTGGGGGAATGGGGGTGTACTGGTATGCAGTCAACAAGCCCATTATGAGAAGCAGCACATGAAAACTAGGCAGCCGGTTTGAGAGAGAAAACATCCACCTATTCATCCAATCGCAAACTCAGGGGTGCAATCTCCCACATTATATCCCCAGACGTGATAGGATTCCCCTGGAGGTCAGTTCTGACTGACGTGAAACACAACCCCAGCCCCCACTTGACAGTGATTCCTATACTGAATCCCAGGCTCTGGCGTTGCCTAGCAACAGCATGACCCCACAGCGCCGGGATGGAGCTATCAATCATTTAAACTTCCGGAAGGGGCACAGCGGAAGAGACTAAGCCGGCAGACAATAGGGGACGACAAAGGCACAAAAGCAGAAAGAAAAGGGGGCAGGTGAGCTTCTACCGCTGACTCTCCCCTCCAACGCTCATTCAATTTTCCTCACCACTGGTTCAGCACAATGCTGAGATTTTAGGGGCCCGCAGTCAGAGCTGGGCTTCACAGTACAGGCCAAGCCAAGTCTGCATCGGGCCAAAGGCTCTTGCAGGGAGGGGGCTGGACAGGAATGAGGAGGTGAATTTTAAGCATGGCTCCTGCCTGAAATCAGAGCTATAGGGGGGTGGCGGGGAGGCAACTTCACTGGCAGAACTGCTCTAGACAGTCAAGGTCTCAACCCAAAGCCCAGCTCACCCCCAAGGCAGACGATCAGGGCTCAGAGGAGAGGCTAAGAAATTAACTCATTCATCCACATCCACTGAAGGATCTCGCTGTTCACATAACAGCCACAGACAAGAGCAGCCCCCTCTATTCTGGAGATGACCAGCAATCAGTGCTCTTCACAGCTGTTTGGGTTTGTGGTGCCTGGTTGCAGTCCCTGACCATAGAGACACCTGACACCAGCTGGTGTCAACCCCACCCAGACAGCACTGGGGCAGAGACACCAGAAGCACAGTCACCCCCCCCCCCCAAAAGTAACCCCAGGAGCTCCTGTACTGCAGGCAGTCCCATCCTGTTGCTGGCTAAATAAACATGTCTGCCAGTAGACGAAAAAGGGGGTGGGGGGGGATTAATTCAGACTGACTTTCCATTACAGCAGACAGGCTTTACTGCCAGGTTCAGTTTAGTGCACGGTGTTATCACCATTTACAGGCCGTTAGCCACACCTTCAGCATTGGGTCCAAGAAGGATAAGACACCACTGCATTCACTTTGTCAGCCCAAGAACCACAAGCATGTCAACACGAGCCAGCAATCGCAAAGATGATTGATCTCGAAAGCACAGCAAATTCATCATAATACCTGCAGGTGTCCATTGTCAAAAGAACGAAAAGCACATGACCCACCCTGCAACTAGTGTTTACAAAGCATTAAAGCTGAACGGCACATGACTCTGGGGAATGTACCAGTTAAGACATGATTGGCTAAAGTTAGTTATGTTGATTCTTAATGCCATGCCAGCAACTGGGGCTATATTTATGGTGAGAGTATTCTGTTTTAATGGGTATTAAAGAACCAAGGAGGTGAAAACTTCATAAATATGTTACGGACCATTAAAACAAGATGCTTAAGATCAGCTTTCAACAATTGGTTAAAACCAGAAGCAAAATAGCTACTGCATTTAAACTGCAGGAGTTGTTGGCATTGAGATGAGATAGATCTCATTGAGAGTCTATGAACAGAGCAGTGGATCAGTGGATGAATGCAAGCGAAAGAAGCGTCTTCCTCTGACAGCTTGTTGGATTGAGAAGCCTAATTACACCTACATTGCGCATCCCCAGAATGCCACTAACAACTCCCCTGGAGACTAGGCTCCATGCACAGCAGCAGACACCTCCCATCTAGCAGAAGCATCCGAATGCAGTATCAAGAGCACTTGCCATAATTGGCTAAATCAAACTGAAGAACTTCAATCAAACACTTCAGCTGGGCCACAAACACTGGGATGCCTTCCAATGCATTCAAACAAAGGGAGGGGACAGTGCCTTCAGCATGCAAGCCCAAGCTGGCTTCTACCCTAGAGATCTCTGGAGATTAAATAAAAAGAATTCTTGCCTTACAACCTCTATGCCTTTTGCCAAGCATTTCCCAGAACGATTCCACCCCAGGGAAGAAAAACTAGAACTAATTCACAGAGCCACTTCTCCCAACTCATTTCTCCTGACTGTTTGGTCAGCCTCAGAATGCCATCCAAAAGCCTTGCAGCGCCACAACCACTACCAGGGACTGGACAGACAGAACACATCCACAGACACCCATTCCAGCTCCTGACAGCAAAGGGTGCCCCATTGCTGTTCTGTGCTATTGCTATTTCTACAGGGCAGCAAATGAGGAATAACTGGAAGGCAGCCACCACACGGCCAAAGTGGGGTGCCAACTGAAACCAAAGTGTGTGACTTGTGGCGGCAGCAGGAGCAACGAGCGAAGAGGGGAGTGGGGGTTACGTCAGCAGTCCAGGAGAGCAGGGAAAAGTTGGACCAGGAATAAAAGCGGAATCAATCGAACAAAGGAAATGGACACCTGACCCTATCCCACACAGCACCTGTAACAGAGTGCTTGGTCTCTGAAAGGACATCGCGGTATTCAAGACAAACACCAAAGTACTGATGGTGAATTTGTGCACGAACAAGAGACTGCTTCTACTACAGGCTTCACCAAGCAATTTAGACCAGACAGACAGCGACTTATTAGCAGACTCAATTAAAATTCCTCCCATGCAGATCCGTGATTGGGGGGGGGGAAGACTATCATGCTGAACTATAGTAGAACCTGCTCTTATTTTAAATGCACGAGACAGGATTACTGTGGTGCACAAAAACAGCTTCTCAAAATACAGTGGAAGCTACCAAATGCAGAAAGGGTCAGCCATTACGAATCACACTGTGGTGTAATCCATGCCGACACAGTGCAGCATATTAAAATATCAAACTGGATTCAAAGCAAAGCAGCAGTTTAATTAGGATTTAAACAAGCTGGGGGGATTATCTGCTGTCAGACCTCCTCCCATAGAGCCCGACGACGGTCACAGGATTACAGCAGCAATATCCAGGTAATTCTTCCGCACCCACCCCTCCACCCGCCGCACCACTGAATTCCCAAATGGAGGGGAGTTTCAGATGAGTGGACAGGAAGACAGCCAAAAAAAAAAAAAACCTGAACAATGTCCTCTTAATTGGAGGGGGTGGGGATGTAAGAAAAGGCCAGATCCAAAAAAAGGCTAGTCTGACAAAATATATAACAGACCCATAACGAGGTGTCTTAGGGAAACTGCAGTCTCTACATGCACACCACGAAAGCACGTTGCTTCCTTTATTCGACAGCAGTGGAAGCACTATTTTGGTACCGCTGACATAAATGGCGCATTTACACAAAGGACAGAGGCGGCGACGCCGGGCGAGACAGCCGGAGGCTCGCGTGCGTCGCCAAAAAGGGGAGAGGGTCCAGAAAGGGTCCGGTAGCTACGCGATAGTCTCCGCGACAAAACACCACCAAGCCATTAAGTCTACTTCATCTCAGGGCGAAACGCTGTGACGGTGGAAAAAAAACCTATACACGGTGGCTTATAACCACTGAGTAGAAAAGCAGGCAGGCAATAGATTAGAGACGGATGTGCGAGAGGCCGGCACGCGCACGCCAGCATCCGACAGCAGCACTCGCACAAGGTGTGAATTTGAAATGCGACATTTCTCCGCAACAAGAGGAAGAGTGTGCACCCAACCCCCCCCCCCATCCCCACCCCCCTGGGGTGTCTTACTCTTACGTGTTAGAGGAACGCACGACACCGCCCGGAGTGATCCGGAACAGGCACGCACAACCCCCTTCTCCATTTTTAAGATCTATATTATATCACATCATTGCTGAAGCGCGTCAAGCTGCCTTTAGACAACTCCGCTGACGCCGGTAAACTTCACACGACGTACATCCACCGATCACGAGCCGACACGGAAAGAAAACTAGCCGTCAGACAAAAACAAAACGAGCTGAGGAGGGGGGGGGGCAAGCGGCTAACGAGTTAGCATTGGCGAAAGGCGTCATTTATAAACCAACGGTGTAACGGGGTTCGCGCTATGATTAAAATAAAAAAGTACAAAGCACTCAGCAGTCATAATAACCAGAAACATACCAAATGCTAGACTGCTAATTAGACCCGCTGCTACATAAGCCCCTCCCAAGGGAAATCGAAGGCAAGGCCGGGCTCGGCTAGTTAGCATTAGCGGCGGCCAGCCTCGGTCGACCGCACTCGCCGAACTGGGCCGGGAAATCACACCGAATTGCCATGCGGCGGCCTACATGCTCTCGCCCTGGATCCCGGTGTTGTCTTTAATACCGTTACCCAGATCTCGTAAATAAATCTGCGTGTAGTCCTACGGCCCCCCTCCTCCTCCTGGGCTCTCTCCACTCCACCCCAACCCCCCTTCCCTCGACCAAATCCCACCCGTTTCGCACTATCAAATGCACGTATATCTTTCTTCCTTCCTTCCAAACTACTCACCTGGTGTGAGCCTGTGCTCCCCCCCAAGCGCCTGAGGCGACATGGAATGCGATGGGCTTTCGGCAGCCGGCCGCAGGCTGCGCCTCTGCGGCGACGGGGTACCCGGCGTCCCCGGCAGCGGGTTGCACCTCCTCCGCTTTGGGGACTGGGGGCTAAGAAGGACCTCAAACTCCATCGAGCGCTTTAACGTGGCCCCGCACGCCATGGTAACTCGGGGATATACGTGAGAATTAGAAAATAAAACAAATCAAATTTTTACTGCGAACCAAAAGACAAAGGTCCGAACTGACTATTAAAATTCAATTGTTTCCTTTGCACCGTCGTACAGTCCTACAATGGCGTCTCTGACCGGGTTTATCTGCCAACTGCCGAGCTCGGATCAAAACTCCGCTACGTCACGGAGAAGGACTGTACCATTCTCCAGGAAAAGGGAGCGCCAGGGCAACAGTAACACCAATTTCGTCAATAAAGAAGAGTTTTAACTGCGGAAATATGCATACATTAATTTTTCAAAACATACACATGCATGTGCATCCTAGTAAGTATCTAGAAATAGGTGATTATACGTATGTAAATAATTCAAATAGTCATCGTGGCCCCTTCATTAAGTAGCACTCGTTGTAAAGTTAAACTAAAAAGTAGACCTTCACGAGACCAAACAACTTGCCTGATGGGGTGACGTCAGTAGGTGGGTTGCGTCTAACATATATACATATATATGTAATATATAATAATTTAAATATATAATAATTAAAAAAAATCAGTTAAATTTTATTTGCTGCGTCACCACTGTAATGTGTAACCTCTGATTTCGTTTTGGATACAGTTTGTCTTTACGCAATGTAACCTCTAGCAAACTTATAGACGATTTACATTGCCTGTGACGTTTAAACATGAAGCGTCATCGACCACCTGGCATGATGTCATGCAGCTTGGCGTACCCCTCAATCAATTCTAACTTAAAAAAATAGTTGTACCTTGAATCAGATCAAAACACTTTGGACATGTTTTCCCTCTGTATGAATTATGTGGTTAGAGAAGCTATCGATGGGTTTGAAACAGAGAAAAATGACTTCTGAAACAGTCGAAAAAAGAAACTGTAGAGGTGTTTACATTTGCATGTTTCATGCTGTTTTAATTTCTTTCTTCTGCATGACAATGTTCTGCAGTCTCACATATCTTTTTTATTGTATTGTAGTGCCGGTGTGTTTAGCGTATAACGTCATGTTAGCTGGCCGTATATATACTCCCTGTGTGTCTTGTTGAAAGTGTACGTATGTTGTTGTTAGTGTAAATACTTCCGTGCTCCTGAGTTTGTGTTGTACGTGTAATCGTGAGGTGTGTGAGCCTTCCTCTCCAGATTGTAATCTCCCCGCGTTTGAGCGCTATGTTTGGCTCTGTGTTATCGTTGGTTGTTGTTGTGGGGTTTATTTGAAGACTTATCATGAAGAATAACTCCGTATCAATCAGTCTTTCCTCGTTTTCATTCACCGCTACAGTGATACTTCGGTTTGCAGGGCGTCGAGTCATTTATAGTACCTTATTGCACTGAATTTGCTAATGGTGAATATATTGTATTTGTTGTGTGACTACTGTGTTATTGTTGAACCTGCAGCAAAATAATTCCCCTCTGGGGGGCAATAAAGTGTACTTACCACTAAAACTACACTGAGAGCACATTGTTGAAGGCCAGAGTGGTCAGTTCATACAGTTCATGGTTGGGGATTGAAATCTCTAACCCATGGTCACTGGGATAACTGGGCACTCTGCATGGTTTCTACCATGGTTCAAAGGCATAAAGTTTAGGTGAATGGGTGTCTGTAAATGTACCTTATTGCATGTGTGTAGCTGAGAGTGGCCCCCACCTTGTGCTTACTGGGGGAGACCTCAGTCTGACCACAAACCTATGCTGGCTAAGTGGTTATGGGAAAGGGGCAGATGTTAAAGACTGTGAAATTGCAGTTGACATCTGTATTTTATTGAAAATTGTCAGTTATGAATTAAATCCCATATTGATGGATAAATGGGTATTTATATTAATGTGGTCATGAACTTCGTTCTCAGCTTCCAAATTAGTCATTTTTGTCTCTGATATAAACCCATTTAACTAGATTGAGTATGCATGACATGTCATTGTGATCATCGATGATTACAGAGTGGTTTTTAAAATGGGCTTTTTAAGTGCTCACGGGTCAGAGATGTGCCCCTAGTTACATTGTGTCAGTAAATAAGCTTGGAATACACTGTATAAATTTTTAGTCAGTCATTTCTATCAGTTTTTATTGCCCCCTGTCCCTTAAAGTTTAATGCCTTTCAGGCACCTGCTTCAGAATCTGGTCCCCGGATTCCTGCAGAGGTAATTGCAGGCAGCTGTGAGCCCCCCCGTCCACCCTACCTAAATTTGCGCCATCGGTAGTCTTATACCCTACACCAGGGCTATTCAATTCAGGCCCTCAACTCCAAATCCAGGCCTTGTTTTCAGTTCTCCCAGGTAGTTAGTTTAAAAATGACTGATTCTGATTGGTCAGAGGCTTCACACCTGGCTTACAGGTGAAGGAAGGCTGGAAAATCAGCTGGGCTCGGCCCTTGAGGACCGTGAGCTGAATAGCCCTGACATACACTGTAGCCTGATGCCTGTAATTACATTTCTAGGGAGGTGCATTTCAGGCTACAGCACGAGCTATGGTGTAGGATATGCAGCTATGCTGTTCTGACAGCGTAGATCCTACACCACAGTATAAATCAGCCGTTAACTCTAACCCCCGCATTCTGCCAGCCTGCCCCGGACCATTTGCCTCCATCTTGCCCCATAAAATGACACATGGCTCACGGCTCCATGGAAGAACGAAGAATCCATTGCTGTCCACCAGACACCCGTTCACCAGACTGCTAGGGGGAGAGTCTGAGGATTTACACCAAAGCAAAGAAATATATCCTTTGAAGCCATTTTATTTTTGTCACATTTATTAAACACCAAATGACAATTGGTACAACTGGTACCCACTGTTGCATTTCCAGTGCGATGTGAAAGGGGGCAGTGAATGGCTCAGCAGGCTAAGCCTTTTGTGCCTGTGATCACAAAGTCACCCGTCACTGCCACTTTCATGCCACTGCACACTGGCTGATCGTGCACCCCCAGGCTCTCACCTGCCTGTTATCCTCATGGATAGCAAGATAGGGCAGCAGAGCGAAGCCCACCAGTGCACCAGTACTCACACTTCTGCAAATGCCAAATAAAGGATAATTTAATTTCTGTTGTTACAGCTTGTGAGAAATTCTCTTGGGAAACGCGATGCAATTATGGTGTATGTAGTATTTTCTATAGTAAAAATGCATCATGCACTGCATAAACCCAACCCAGCCCCCCAGTCCATGTAATAGCCTTTACGTAACTCTGTGTTAGAACTAAGCAGAGAAAACTTTAGCTGCAGCTGTGGGTCATTCATCACCGTTTTACACTCTCTCTCTGGTCACATGATGTGCACATTCTCCCCATGATGGAAGGACCCATCTGGACGTAAAAACAGACTACAGCACACACTACAGAAGCACACGCGGCCTCTCTCATGAACCAAGGGTTCACTGTTGACACCATTCACCTGAGGCACAGTAATGGTCACAAGAAGCCTGCCTTCTGCACAAGACGCAGTGATGAAAAGTGTAGTGACTTGACAAAACCTGTCACAACAGCGCTGCACGATTACCTCGGAAGGTCAATTATGAAATAGCAGAGTCCCAAATCTTTCCTCTAAACATCGCAGAAACATCAAGTGTTTTTTGCTCCGCTCAAGTCGTTCAGCGTCACCTTCACCTTGAATGTTTCTTTGCAGTTAATTCTTTTTTCAGAAGATTTTATTTAGGTTATTTCAAGGATCCTATATTGGGAACGTCACCTCATATATAAACACCCACTGCACACAACATACGGAATACAATATGGAAGTTTAAACAATAACACAAGTGTTACCATTACCAATAAGCCATTTTACAGTTAAACTATTTACTCTTAAGATACTTTGTCGCGTCAGAAATGTAAGAAAAACACAATAAACGTCCAAAATTCTGTGGTTGTAATAAATAGAAACAAACACTTTTTAAATTACATTCAAACTGACATAAAGTCATGGAAATGCACTCATTTGATTAATGTGACAATATTTTAGGAGCATTTAATATATTTTATATGCTGACCAGAAACACGAAACTGTAAAAACACTGCGCTGATCACATGGCCCCGAGATAAACACACAAAGCGTGCCTGAGTCTTTTCCATTTGTCCCGGAGCTGATGGCCTCTCCTCTCCTCATTCCCCAGTGTTCCCCATCATGGCCTGGCTCACTTCCTGAGGACCTCCATCTGCTGTTTTTCCACCCTTTCGGCCATCGAATTCACGACAGAGCACGTGAATGTCCCGCCCTCCGCCTCGGACGCCAGGTTGTCGCTGCTGCCGCTGACCCCGCCCCCGCTTTGGCCGCCGGCCTCCGTGGACCCCCCAGAGATGCACCTGCGGGCGACCCGCCGGCCCCGGCGCAATACCCGCATCAAGGCTCCCCGCATCTCGCGGCAGCGCAGCGCATACAGCAGCGGGTTCACGGCGGAGTTCACCAGGCACAGCGTGCTGCAGAAGGCGAAGGCACGCTGGTGCACCCTGGTGAGCGTGGTGGAGACGTCCACCAGCATGAAGGAGAGCACGGGCAGCCAGCACACGGCCAGGATGAGCAGGATGAGGCCCAGGGTGCGCGCCAGTCGGATGTCCATGCGCATGCGTGCCTGGCCGCCCGCGCTGCTCTGAAGGCCCACCATGGCGGCCTCGTGCTGGTGTGCCCGCCAGAGGACCAGCCCGTAGGCACCCAGGATGAGCGCCAGTGCCACCAGGATGAAGCCTGTCCAGCAGGCCAGGTAGTAGCTGTCAATGTAGGGGAAAAGGAGGGAGCAGGGGGGGTCCAGCCCAGTGGGGCAGGACCAACCCAGGAGGGGCAGGAAGGCCACCAGGGTGGTGATGACCCAGAGGGCCCCCAAACTGGCAAGGGCTCGGCGGCGGGTCACCAGGCTCTTGTACTGGGAGGCCCGGTGGATGCAGATGTAGCGGTCCAGCGCGGTGAGCAGGAGGCTGCCCACGGAGCCGGTGAAGGCCAGGGTGACCCCGCCCAACTTGAAAAGGTAGGCGTGGGGGCCGTCCCGCCGGAGGTGCAGGTGGAAATCCAGGAAGCTGATGGTGAAGAAGCAGCTGGCGAAGACGTCGGCAAGGGCCAGGCTGCTGATGAAGACGAAGGAGGGACGGCGGCGCAGCGCCGGGGAGGCGCAGATCAGTGCCAGCACCAGCACGTTCTCCATGAAGGTGACGGGCCCCGCCAGACTGCATATGAAGCCGATGGCGCTCTTCTCCACGTCTGTCAGCACCATGTAACACTCCAGATCTGAGCAGTTTACCCGCGAGTTGTTATTACAAGGCGTGACAGTCCCAGCCATCTCTCCCCACACGCTCACACCTACATGAGGCACAGCTGAAGATGCTCTTAAGTTCAGTTGTTCCTTATAAGCCTTTCGGGACGTGCTAGAAAACACAGAACAGCACATCATCAACTTTTCCCATTAATAAATACTGACATCATCACTATTTCCAATTGCTTTCACACATCCATAGTACAGTGACCAGCATATAATTATCAACAAAAACGAGGTTATTTTATCCTTCGGCCACTAGGTGGCAGCAGCAGTAGAACATTCAAATCTGCAATCTGCAGATACCGTCATTCGATTGCATTTATCTAATGTCGTAGTGAAGCTGGGCGTATGTCTGGCCAGAAGGGGGAGGGTGGTGACTCAGCACTCTTGGGGTAATTTAACTAAGCCTAATGTTTTCTAACAGAAAATGTGGTTTTATGGTCCCTGGTGTTTTCAAAATATGACTGATGGAGAAAGTTAACATGGTCAGCCGCATTGGTGCCTTTGAATCTCCGGCCCCCTCCCTGTGACTCTGTACCACATAAGTGATTAGAAGATGGATGATTTTAATATTTTGATCAATTTTGATATGTAATGAATGCTTTCCCTGAAGTCTTTTTCCAGCTGGACAGCAAACTTTGGAAAACTTTTTAATTTAATTATAATTTTTTTTTGAAGACACATTGTTAAACAGAATCTGTCACTTGATAGCCTCTGATATCTGTTGGTTGTGACCACATCCGACATAGTCCACTTGGGACACAGGCCTCAGAACGGTGGTAGGTGGGACCCTGGCAGACATCTTGTGGTTCTCTGTGAGGATTAGAGGGCTGGATTTCCACACAGCAGCATGTTCATGCTGGTTTGCACAACTTGTGGAGGTTTTATCAACAGGAAATGAAGATCTGAAACATTTTGTCACGAAGGTTTTTTTTCCACTCGCTGTATCTGCTTCTTCTTTTGACTGTCAGTCTTTTCCTCCTCACACACACACACACGCACACACACACACACGCACACACACACACACACACACACACACACACACAAAAATGGTACTCACATTGCCAAAATAACAGGTTTTTATCATATTGTGGGGACGTTTGGTACCCACAATGAAATAAATACATAACTCACACACATATGCACACACACACACACATGCACACACACACACACGCACATTTTGCTGATAATGTTAGCACGCCTGCAGTTGACCTTGGACCTACCAGAATTTTTTTTTCTCATCTATTAATCTATGGAATTTTCATTCCTCTGTTGTCTTCTGACATTTATTGACTATTTATTTTTTACTGCCTAGTTATCTTTAACCATTGTATGTGCGCAAGTGACATTTGTTTGATTCTTTGTTAAGTGCATTGGACCAACCATATAAAAGTAAATTGAATTGAATTGAGTCTCTGATTAGACAGGCCTCAGCCTGAACTACGTCTTTGTAAAAGTGGGACATCTGAGTGCCTCAGTAATTACCCAGCACATTTTCTGTTGTCCCCCATAAAAGCAAAGCCTCTGTGTGGGGGATTACACTTCACATGAGGTGGTACATTTTTAACAGGCCCAAAATTATTATTTTTGATTGAGTGACAGCAATCCGCGTTTTTATGAAGCACAGTAAACTCCATCAATCACTGAATTTAAGCTCTCTGCTAATGGCACCATCAGAAGAGTATATTACAGGCTGTGTGTACAAGACAGACCAACTGCTTAAAGCACCACAGTGAACACTGCATATACATTTATGCATTTATGCATTTGTCCAAAGCAATGCACAAGAAAGGCAAATAGCACATTACAAACATTTTTGCTGTCGAGGAGTGCAGCTAGGCTGAGCTTACCTGAGAATACCCAGATACAGGTGTAAGCAGTTCTGGGGCATGGTGCCCTTGCAGTCAGACATTCCTAATGTGCCCCACATTAAAACTGCGAAATGATGAGAATATTATTCAAAACCTAAGCGCACCAACTTCCGAAGGATTCCAGTGGTGCATCCGAATCTTCTTTCCCCTTCGCGGACCCCTGACGTCCCCCAGCACCCACAGTGGTGGGGGTTATTTTTCGCTGAGACCTTCTGAATGGCTTGGGCATTAATTGCAGGGAGTGGGTTCTTGCACAAACTGTGTAGAGGATCTGGGTCAGATCTTTCACGTGGCCACCGAGAGACTCTCAGGCTCCGTCGGAGTTCACAGCTCTCCCCTTCGGCAGATCGTCCTTGTACCCAGTCGGCTAGTCATAACAATGTGGCCCCTGTCAATGTCACTCAGGTCTGTACCTTGGCCCATTTCATCTACACTTTACACATCGAGTACAAGTACCAAATGTGAGCCGTCTGCTTTATGTCAACGTTATTCGTTTTCTGTAGGGGGTGGTCGTGACGTGGACAGAATATGCACATATGCAGAGATAACAAGGCATGGATGGGGATTAAAAATCGGCCCTGGACTTTGGGGTCCCCCGCGGAAATTTTGCAGGCTGCTGGTTCCCCTAGTGGCGATGTTGAGTCTTTACAAGACACATTTCACTGCAGCGTTTGACTTCAGCAGAAAAAGTGAGATAGGAGGTGAAAAGCTGTTTACATTAGCCTAAACCAGAGCAGTTTTACTGGCGTACTGTCAGATAAACATTGTTGTTGTGTTTTTTTATTATAGGTACTGTAGCTATAAGGCGCGGGTAGTTAAGAATATGGCATTATAGCCTGCAGAACATTATTAGCTTATATCACAGTTCTTCAGAACAAGTTGGACCCTTTATGGGTTTTTATCCAGCCATTTAGCTGGCATTTTTATCGCAGACTGATCTTCTTCTTCCTGTCATTTCACGTGTATACAATATCAGGTTCCATAACATTCATTTGCTGATAAAAATACTGATAAAATATATTTTGATATATAAGTGCATATTAGCGTGCTAAAGTGCATCTGGTTGAAAGCCTTGGGGTTGTTCCTAATTGGATACTTATCATTGCGAAATACAGCACATCAGTCAGACGGTGACCCTCCTACTCCTCACGCTAAAATCTCTGTACACATTGCAAAATTCTATAATAACTTGTGGCAGGGGAGAGCTATGGGTGGGCAAGGGATCATTTACAAGCCCCCCCCCCCC